AGGGTTGATAACTGAAAACGTTTCCCGTTACTATACGCAACTGATTGATCTCCAATCGGGCTGTTATATGAGCTGTCAATTCAAAATATAGCAGGTGAGCTTAGCAGTAGCTATTTTAGAGAGAGAGGGTTTCAGATCTATTTATATATATATTTAAAAAAGATCATAAAAAATTTCACCAAATAGGATTTAGTTTGCAAAATAAGAATTACAGACCTTGATTACAGGAGAAAAATAGAATTACAGACTTTCATCATAAAATAGAATTACAGAAAAAAAAAAAAAAATTAAAACAAAACCTATACATACAAGTTAGCAGTTGCAGAGAGACAGGGGGGCAAGCTTGAGAGTTGAGAGACAGCGGGAACTGGTACAGCGGGCGATGGAAACTAAAAGATATGGGTTTTGATTTTTTGAACAATCTGGAATGATATGGCCGAGAGAGGGGGCAAGTTCAGTGAGAATGAGAATAGAGATGGAGGCGATTGGGGAGGCTGAAATGATTTGCCCTAAATATATACTATTTTTTTTCTTGGGTCATGGGTCTATAAATTATATAGTTGAATATATATAAATTATACAGTTAATTATATGGGTCATGGGCCTCTTTTTTTTTTTTTTTTTGACCAGATATTTTAGATTTTTACTTTTTTTTTTTAATTTTTTATAATTAGGTTTAATTATAATTTTCTTCTAATGTCTACAACTTGACTTGGAATGGACGTAATATCACTGATGCAAATATGAATTGTGAGAATGGTAGTTGAAAAATAATAGTTGTTATATAAAAAAATAGCATTTTGCATAAAATGCACTATTCGAGCAGAATTGGTAAAATGTAACATTTTAACACTGTAGCACCTGTCAAAATATAGATTTAACATGTGAAAATAACTTTTAGCATTAGGGATGGTCTTTAAGGTGAAATTGTCATCCATAACCTCCACCAAGCCACTACAACCATATAAATTCACTCACTTTCTATATTAAAGTAAATTCCAAGCTAGAAGCCAAGAGATATATATATATATTTCAAACGAGAAATATATATATCAAATAGGGGTGCACACGGTCCAGTTTGGATCGGATTGAGAGTATTTTGGGACTAAACCATTTATAACGGTTCCACTAATTTTGAAACCAAACCAAACCATAATGTTCATGGAACCAAACCAAACCAAATTGCGAAAAACCGGTTCTGTTCGATTTGTCGGTTTCAGTTGATTTTCTTTTTATTTTATTTTAATTTAAAGGGGGCAAAGTTAAATAAAAAAAAAAAAAAAAAAAATTAGCTAACATTGATATAACACGCAATAAAAAGAATTTTAAGAAGAAATAAAGGAAAGAAAAATGAGATATATTTGAAAAAAGAAATTTGACTTTTTTTTAAAAGAAATTTAAGGAATTTAAAAAACAAAAGAAAGAAAGGGGCACGGGAGAAATTTACTTGATTTAAGTTTAGGATATGATATATATATATATATATATATATATATATATATATATATATATATATCACATAGTAACGGTTCGGTCCGGGCTGGTCCAGTCCATCATGACCCTAAACCAGAACCGGACCGAAAAATTACGGTTCCATAATTTTGGGCCCAAGACCGTACCAAACCGCTATACAACTAGTCCAAACAGTTATACAACTAGCCCAAACCGCCCAATTCAGTATGGTCCAGTCCCGTTTTTCGGTTTATCTGATTTTTTGAACACCCCTAATATCAAATGGCCATATATATAGGAAAGTAAGTATAAGTGGTATATAATCAAAAAGGAAAGTAAGTACAAAAAAGATGGGGCATACACAATAGGGTGGCCACGGATCGGATCGGATTAACGGATTGGGAGATTTTGAATCCGCCACTAATCCGTTAGTCCACGGATTGGATTGGATAGGATCCGTAAAATGACGGATCGGATCGAATCCAATCCGCGGACTGGATTTTCCAAATTAGTCTATTTTAAATTTTTTACAAAAGTGTATAATGGAACATAGGTTAACTTAATTTAAATGCATAATAACAATGATTCTTCACGGCAGCAGCAGATCAGATTTGTACGTTTATAAAAGTCCTTCAAGGATTCTCCAGGCTTCAAGAAACAGTACTTGAAAAGATAATCAATTCAGAGACTGATAAGAAGAAATTTTATTTATTATTATTTTTTTTAATCTAGATTCCAGATCATATCTAAAGAATGAAAGGAGTACCGTAAGGCGTAAACGTTCTCTAAGAATCCAGATCAGCCAAGACTTGCTCTGATCTGCTCTATCCTGGCCCGTTTTTGATTCGGTGAAGGAGACGATAGCAGAAGTGCAGAATTGAAAAGGAGCTCACTGAAGGCGGCCGCTTTCTCTTCTTTAGCTAGGTTTAGGTTTTAATGTTTTACGAATGAGAAAAGTTGGTGGTATCAATATGTAATATTTATTCATGGGGCATAGCCTCGCCAGAGTGACCTTCAACGGAATGATTAGCTCTTCCTCCCTGGACCTCTTTTCTGCCTTCCAGGAGGTCTGACGTTGCGGCTGAGCCTACTTCTGCCTGATCTTTGCCTTGGACTTTTCCTCGGTCGACACGACTGACGTTGTCCGAGGATTGGCTGCCTCCTCTTCTTCCAGGCGCACAAAGCCATCGGCTCTTTCATTGAGTTCATCCATAGTCGTCGGCGTGTTCACTACCAGACTGGTATGGAACGGAGTGCCACGTGTCATGGCCAACTTGAAGGCTTGAACCGCTGTAGAAGGGTGGCATTCAATCACTATACTCTTAGTGAGGTTAAACCTGGTGAGAAAAGCCTAGAGACGTTCATCTTTGTGTTGTTTCATTGTGAATAGGCTCGAGATGTCCTTCGGCGGACGCTTGTTCCCATAGTACTGGCTTATGAACCGATCGCACAGGTTCCGGAAGCTATCAATCGAGCCCCTAGGCAAGTTCTTGAACCAGCTAAGCGCCGGTCCGGCTAGACTTATAGGGAAACATTTGCACATTAAAGAGTCGTTCTCCGTATTCAGAGCCATCTTCAACTGGATATGGTACACATGATCGATCGGATCGGTTGTTTCGTCAAACAGAATAAAGATTAGCATGGCAAACTTCCTTGGATGCGGAGCATTCAAGATCTCATCAGTAAATGGTGAATCAACTGTCCGAGCTGCGGATCGGAGTGCTTCATTCTCTCTCTGGAGCCCAGCGGTAGCTCTATGAGCTACAGATCTGCTCTCCGAACCGCAATGAGTGAGTGTAGCCATGGAGAGCCGGTAAGACGGATCGAATGACCGTTCCTCAATGAGCTCTCTTTGCCAAGGCGATACAACTCGGCGGCGATCAACCTCTATCACTTCCTCTCGGTTGAACCTTTCCTGTTGCGTATCGAAGGTCATGGCTTCGTTCTATCTGATCTGCTCATGTCGCGGATTAACGTGAGTCGATCCTTCGTGATCCTCAACTCGACGAACATTTGGCGGCAAATTGTCCATCCTCCTTTCATCACGGTGGAGAGCTGACTGATTGTTCTCGTCCTGCTCGCCTTGATGTGCGATATTAGATTGAATACCTCCTTCACCGGCCAGAAGTGGACGCGGAACCGCCGGCATTTGCTGATGCTGCATTCCAGCTTTCAATTCTGCATTCTCTCTTTTGAGAGCTTCGATCAAGTTCATCAACTCCTCAAGCTTCGTTTGCTGGACAGCCTCCATCGGATTGGAGCTTTCACCTATCATTATTCCTGAACGGAGTAAAAGCATTAATCTCAAGTTCTTGAGTAAATCTGAGCTTCGTGAGCGCGAATTTTTCAGATCTAGACTCGAATTCTCCGAGTTATGCTTACGGTTGACGAGATCTGAATTCTCCGAATTCTAAATCCATCAAATCCGGCCGCAATCGAACAACTCGTTGTTGCGTAGATCTGAAGCCACTTCCGTCAAAGCAACAGAACTAAAATTCCTCCAGAATAGGTCACAATCTCTCAGATCTGGATCCAACTCCCAAAGATCGAGTTTCGTCTTCACGAATTGGTTTGAATCCACGCGATATTGATCAATGATCAATCAATCTTCAATGCTTCCCACAGACGGCGCCAATTGAAGATGCAAAGAATTCATTTCTATTTTCTCTCTCTAGAATTCTTACACTTCAACAGAATGAATCTTTCTCTCCATTACTTATCATATTTATAGGTATTTACAAACATTAATGGGTTGCTAGATCTGGGCCCGTTCCTTTGTGGGCTTTGGTCATCTTCGATGGGCTATTCGCGTTCGGCCCGTATGGCAGTATTTCTTTATAGGCTGGACCCAGCTGCTCGGACCGGATGCCATGTTCGCGGGTCATATCCGGCCCATATCATTTCTGGCCTCCTCAAATTCATTATCAAGTGATAGTCGGAACTCGGAACTTAAAATGACCATACATGACGTGTTCCATAAGATTAGTTTAACCTTTTTCACACATCTTTACTAATGAGGTTTGTTGTTATAAGTATTTGTCGCACATTATTTTCGGATGAAAAGTGAAAAGAGGACAAATGGGTGGGTATACAGTTTAAGTTTTTTAATAAATGAGCAAACGCCCACCGTTACAGACTTACAGGCTGTTGATATCAGAGATAGGACCTGATCCTTAATCCGGTGTCATGCTAAGCGTCCAAATGAGTCACTCGGGTAGGCAGGGTGGTCCGACCGCAACCAGAGCGTTACGAGTTCGGGTGGAGTAGAATGTTACAAGGGGTATTTGTCCCACATCGGATCCAGATGAAAAAAGAGATATAAATGGGTGGGTATACAGCACTACTCAACAATTTAAATTTTTGAATAAATGAATAAATGTCCACCCGTTACATTAGTCTAGTTTAAAGAATGAGTTTTTTTTATAAAAAAAATTACTGTAAATAATACTCCGGCTCAGCATTGGGCTCAAAGCCTCAAACTGAAGATTTTCTTTCTACAATCAAAGTAAAGCCTTTGATCTCTACAAATCCAGCCCATGCTTGGGCTCAAAGCCTCAAACTTTAAACCCTACCTAAACCCAATTATGTATTGTACACTACACTTCATTTTAACTAAACAGAGAACAGAACAGAACAGAACAGACCTTACATCAGTGTTCTGAGGGTTCCACTGAAACTGTCATTGATGTTGAATCGATTTGAGTTCGAATTAGAACATGCAATCCAATTGTCGTCTATTCGAAACGCTAATTCGGAACCCAATTTGGAGCCGATCGTACTATACGAATCGGCAGAATAAGGTCACACTCTATTCGAAGATCAGTCCGCTCGGAAACCCTAGCTTGAGTGTGGTGCCAGAGCTTGACGACTGGGTAGGAAAGGGCAAGAAGGTGCGATTCGCCGAGCTCCAGCGCATCATTCACGATCTCCGCAAGCGCAAGCGCTTCTCTCATGCCCTCCAGGTTTTTTTTTTTTCCACTCTCTCACACACACATATTATAATGTTTATGTGTTTGATTTTGTGTTATGGTTTGTATATATATTTTTTTATTTTCCGGTGGATATGTATGTATAAAAATGTTTATATGTGATTTTGTGATATGGTTTGTATAGTTTTGCATTTCTCCCAGTAGAGAGAGAGAGTGAATAATTAACCGTACTTTTACTGGTTGAGTGTTAATGGATAATCGAAGCATAATCAACTAGCTGACGATAATGCATTAGGAAAGAGAATTTCATGAATGGAAGTATTCTTTTGAACAATTGGGAATTTGTTTGAAGAAAGTTGAGTATTCAGGAAATGGATAGATGCATCCTTCTTAAAGAGGTTGCTTTAAGAAATTAAATTGAGTTGTTTTTGATGTTTATTTTGTTTTGAAAAGAAATGAAAAAGTAATAGCCTGCAGAATTTCATACGAGTATATATTTCAAGTACAAAATGGCGCCACACTGTCGCGGTAATGCACTTCCCTTTACCCCATAGGGCCGAAGCTTTAGAAGGCCTTTTTTTCTTTATTTTTTTTTAATAGATATAGAGTAAGGGAGATCTATATTTCTTGTCGTAGCTTGATTCCCGAGAATCCCGACTCAAAATCCATAAAGGGCGTTGAGAAAGGATGAACATTCCTGTTCTAAGCCTGCACTTAATTATCCTAGAGAAATTTCAAATGTCACATTTAATATATTATAGAGAAGATGGTTGTAGCTTAAATTGAAAAGTAGGAACATAAATTTTCTCCTGATACAGTAAACTATATCATTTATACATAACAAAACAGTCTATGCTTGTAATTTTGAGTTAAGGGGAGTGGCATGATAACCCTTTTCTTTTGCCTTTATAATCTTAATTTTAATGTCTTTTTTTTTCCGGGGGGAGTGGGATTGTTGAGGCTGAGGGGCTCAAATGGTGGATGCTCCCTTCAAGTGCATGTCATTATCATTGGCAGCAATAGAAATATAACCGTAAAGTTTTAAACATATGACACTGATGCACACAGTCAAAGTTGGCCCGCATGGAATGGATGCAGTGAAAAGCTCTGTGCTTCTCTTAAGAAACAGAGATTATGATTTCTAAATGAACCAACTAAAAGGCACACAACTGTCCTGGAAAAGGCTTTTTAGGGTAGGAATCCAAGTGTTCAAATGACTTGCTACAAGTCCGTCTGCAAGAGATTCATTTGACAAGTGATTCTGCAGGACACGATTGACCTGTCTCTTGGTTGTTGGAATAAAGTAAGTGTGGAATATGGAAAGAAATTAGTATATCAAACTTTATGTGTTGTCTAGTTTCCAGAAGAAATGGAAAATTGGCACCGAATATTCAATCGATGTGGTTACCTGTTCTTTATTTAGTTTTCTATAAATTATTTTTTGTTGATATCATGCTTTGTGAAGGGATGCAGGTTTCCGAGTGGATGAATAATAAACGAATCTGCACATTTTCACCAACTGAACATGCTGTGCAGTTGGATCTGATTGGTAGGGTCCATGGATTTCTTTCTGCAGAAAGCTATTTCAATAACTTGAGGGACCAAGATAAAACAGATAAGACATATGGTGCTCTGCTGAATTGCTATGTACGACAGCACCAAACTGATAAGTCCTTGTCCCATTTACAGAAAATGAAGGAACTAGGTTTTGCTTCATCGCCTCTCACTTACAATAACATCATGTGCCTTTACGCAAATGTTGGTCAGTATGAGAAGGTACCTGATGTTCTAACTGAGATGAAGAATAACAACATTTCCCCCGACAACTTCAGCTACAGAATCTGCATTAATTCTTACGGAGTAAAATCAAATATTGAGGGAATGGAAACAATCTTGAATGAAATGGAGAGCCAACCCTACATTGTCATGGACTGGAACACATATGCGGTTGTGGCAAATTTCTACATTAAGGCTGGCCTAAGAGATAAGGCGAATGATGCCCTAAAGAAATCAGAGGGGAGGCTCGATGATAAAGATGGTCTTGGCTATAATCATTTGATTTCTCTCTATGCCAGTCTCGGGAATACGACTGAGGTGCTGAGATTATGGGGTCTTGAGAAGAATGCTTGTAAGAGGTGCATCAACAGGGATTATATTACTGTACTGGAATCTCTGGTGAGACTTGGCGAGGTCAAAGAAGCTGAGAAATTACTGGAGGAGTGGGAGTCATCTGGCAACTGCTACGATTTTCGAGTGCCAAACACCGTAGTTGTTGGGTATATCGAGAAGGGATTGTTTGAGAAAGCCGAGGCAATGCTTCTAGACTTGATGGATAAAGGAAAGGCGTCGACTCCAAATAGTTGGGGCAGAGTGGCAGCCGGGTTCCTAGATAAGGGCGAGATGCAGAAGGCTGTAGTGTGCATGAAGGCAGCTCTCTCATTATATGAAGATGGTAAAGGTTGGAATCCTAATCCTAAGGTTATTACAGGCATATTGAGTTTGCTGGGTGCGAAAGCCAGCACTGAAGATGTAGAAGACTTGGTAGGTTCAGTAAGGACTGTGATTCCATTAAGCAGACAGATGTATCATGCCTTGCTCAAGGCATATATCAAAGGTGGTAAAGAAGTGGATGGACTCTTGGCCAACATGAAAGCTGATAAAATAGATGAAGATGAAGAAACAAAGAAAATCCTGGTGGGAGTCTAGAGATCCAAAGAAACATAGAAAATCCTTAACATGAAGCTGGTAGGTTTATAAAGCTGATGGGTTTATGTGAGTGAAATCTAACCAGACCGAACTTCAAGTTCTGAAACAAAAGTTGTCCGCTGGTCTTGTAGATTTTTTTATTTTTCTTAAATATATATATATATATATATATATATATATAAAATTCTGTTATAAACAATTCAGTTAATCTGGTTATGTGGTTGGTACGTAATATTAAAATACATCGTATCGGACTTATTTTTATTTTGCTTTGGTTGATACGAACTTAGCCATTCAAATTTAATAATAATAAAAAAAATAAATGTGGGAATGAGAAAAAAATGTGATGTGGAATAGGCCCAGTGCTGTGATCATTTTGTAATTCAGTTCACCGCCAGAGTGCTGTCTAGACATTGAGCCAAAACTCATCTTGTTGAAGAAATGCACTTTTTGTCGGTGTGCTGTATGCCACAAAAACTTGGGTTATGAATATATGTCCGGACGTGACTCCGGAGCTAAAGAGAGATCGTCCGGACGTGACACGAGCTGGAGAAGAGAAATCGTCGGTGGAAAGCCGAGCACACATAAACTGGTTGGCGGAGGAGTGAGGGGATGGAGAAGGAGAAGCCGTGGCACGCTATAGAGATTCGGGTCGTATTCTGGCAGCCATCGTTGGAACAAATTAACAGAGATTCCACTGCGAGTGTTTTGTTTTTGGTGTAATAATCTTCATGTGTTAGCTTGGGGTAGTTCTGTCATTTTGCATTTAGCCTCTTTATTTTCTTTTATTTTTTAATAAACTAAGGGTAACTTAGTCATTTCATTGCTCAATTACTCTCTAATTGTAAATTTGTCTTTATTTGCACAAATTGAAAAATGTAAGTGGGTTTATTGAACAATGAGAATATTTGCATTTTTTGTTTATAGTGTGGGAGTTTTTTTTGCACTTAACTCTATAATATATAATACATTTAACATATACTTTATTATAATAAATATAAATGTTAAATAATATATCTATAATTTAATATAGATTTGGTATATAATAATATATTATATTTGTTGCATAATAATTTAATTATATTATATAAAATAAATCATAAATAAATCATTTTTTTTGGTCCCAAAAAATAATTTACACTATTATCTAATATATTACATTTTAAAAATATATTTTTGTTAAATAAAAAATAATTTACACTAATATTTAATATAATATAATTATATATTATAAATATAATTTTTATTAGTATTTAATATATAGCATTAATATATAACATGAATAACATACATTTTATTTGAAATGAACAGTGTGTATGTAATAATAATAGTGAAAACGTTTTTGCTCAATTGTATTGAAAATATGATAAACATTTTTTTTAAACATTTTTTCTTTTCTTCACAAAAAAAAAAAAAAAAAAAAAAAAAAAAAAAAAAAAAAATCATTTTCTGTTATAGAAAAAACAAAAACATATTATTAAACATGATTTTAATTTTAATTTTGCCTTTTAAAGGGTTGATAACTGAAAACGTTTCCGTTACTATACGCAACTGATTGATTTAATTATCTCCAATCGGGCTGTTAAATTACGTAAACATAACTAAATTAATATATTGATATGGAAGGAAGTATATATATATATATATATATATATATATAATTATGTTTTATATGTGTATATATGGTTTAATTGTTTAAGATAAGGATGGTGGGATGTGTATATATATATATTGATATATATATATGTATATATATATGATTTAAATAATCAAAGATTATTATAAATGGTATTATACATATTTATAGATTATATAATATATGTGTATGTATATATATATCATTTAAGATAATTAATATAAATTATTCTTATTTGGTATATCTGGATGGTTATTAAAGTAATGTTATGTTCATGAAATGCATGAGATGTCTATGTGTGATTTAGTTCATCGTGAAATTTAAAGTTGATGCATGATTGAATTGTAGGCATGGATGAGTTGCCAAAGGCTTAAATATATGGCCTAAATATTTGTATGAATAAAACACATACATAGGAAGCATGGATGAGTTGCTAATTGAAAGTATAAATATATATACTTAAGGAGGCATAATTGAATTACCAATATATAAATAAATATATTTATAATGCCATGGTTAATTTGCCAAAGTGTAATTATATTACTGTGTGTTAGATGATTAAACTATCATCTATAGTTATTGTATGTATAGGTTGGATTATGATTAAATATTCTTAAATTAGAATAGTTTAGTACTTACATGTTAGTGTATTATTTTATGCATATTAATAAAATAATACTGGTGGAGGCATAGATGATTTCTCAAAGCTTAGATTTTGGGATATGTGATTTAAATAATTAAAATCATTATCGGGTTTGGAATTAAATATAATATTCTTCTTATTATAATTTATTGTTTAAATGATTAAACAACTGACTAGGATGGGATTAAGGTTAAAAGAGTTTCTTTTTAAATAAATGGTAGATTGGTCTAGAAATGATTATTATTTTAATAATTATTTAATAGGTATGGAAATTTAATAAACCTATTAATGGATGTGATTAGTATAGTATATATAATTATATTTAAACATGTATATCGTGTTTTATTAAAGTTAAAACTTTATTAGGTTTGGTTTTGATCAGAGATGATCTGCTTATTGATTTTCAGAGGCCTGGTAGAGTGAACTTGCTCGTAGGGTTTAACTCTCGATTTATTTTTTCAGGTTATTATAAGTTCCAAGTCTCAAGGTTGAGGATCCGCAACTGGAGGACTTATCAATTCTTTCTATTTTATTTCAAAGTAGGATATTATTACTTCAGTATGTAGTGATGAATTTCTGGGCAGTGGAGTTTGGTTAAGGGGTTCTTGAGTTACAGGATTCCCGAGTTGTAATTGTTGAAAAATCATTAAGTAATATTTATTTATTAGTTTTCTTCAGCGGTTTATTTATTTATTTTTATTCATCTTTGTACTCTGTGCTTGTTTAAATACTTAAATTGTTTTGATATCCCTTAATTTTGTGTGCGGATTTGATCAACCAGTGTTCCAAAATTAGAGAGTATCACAGTGTCCACGACCACGGGATGAGGCAACATATGTTTCAAGGATCGGTGTCGATCCAGTTGGACGAGACTGGTGGTTTCTTAACAAAAGCTCATTATTTTGCTCTGCCACCAGCAAACATGATATCAGCTCTGAATATTTTTTAAATCTACGCTCTCGATATTGTTGTTGCAAGAGTACATTCGAGGCGTGAAATGTGGTGAATGTTTTTTCTAACAAAAGTTCATCAGTAACAGTATCACCACATAATTTCAATATAGAGCTGATTTTGAATAGAATAGAGTTATATTCAACCATAATTTTAAAATCTTGCAACCTCAGTTGCAGCCAATCAGCCCTGGCCTTTGGGAGGATTACTGTTTTTTTATGGTCATATCTTTCTTTCAAATTGTTCCACAAACAAAGTGGATCTCTTTCAGTGAGGTATTCAGTTTTCAGTTCCTCACTAATATGGCGCCGGAGAAAAATCATGGCATTTGCTTTATCTTGCAATGATGCATCATTTTTTTCTTTGATTATGTCTCCAAGGCCCATGGCATCTAAATGGATCTGAGCATTCAGAATTCAAGATAAATAATTTTTGCCAGAAATATCCAGGGCCACGAATTCCAGCTTTGTCAGATTTGACATTTTCAGAATAACTAAATGTGACAACAATATAAAAATATAATTTAGCATAGTATATAAATAAATAAAATGGCATTAAATGAAATAATAACATAATATGATTTATTTAAATAACAAATGTGGTAAAGCCAGTCATAGTGTATAAATTATTAAACAATAAAGGCGGTAAAACCGGCCATAAATTATGAAATAATAAAGGTGGTAAAACCAACCATAATTAATAGATCATTAAATAATAAAGGTAGTAGAACCGACCATAGTGTAAGCACATATATCATTTAAGTGAATAACTTTATTTTATGAATAATAATCCATAATTAAAAATTTTTTACCCTTTGGAGTCAGGAATACAATGTTCTTTGATAAAGCAAATCAACCCAACAATCTATCAAAACTAATATCACAAAATAGATATATAGTTGGAATAGAAAGAGGGAGAGAAAACTTCTTCTTCAAATCTCAGATGGATCGAGCTTGTGCTGATAACGTGTAATAAATATATGTGTATGTGTGCATATATATATATATATATATATATATACATATAGAGAGAGAGAGAGAGAGAGATAAAATGAGAGAAAGAGGAAGCTATTGAGTTTGTTTTTCACCCTCACATTACATACACATAATGCCTATTTATAGGCAAACAAATCGTGGGCAGCAAGCAGCTTTTCAGACAAGCTTGCTGCCATTTTCAATATGCCACAATTTTCCACTCATGTGGACCCCACACAAGACACACACATACATAACCGTTTTTTTTTTTCTTTTTCACCAATCTCTATTCTAGTTCTCAACTCTCCCCAACTACAAACTACAAAATCTACAAGAATCAGAGGTTCAAAACCCATATATTTCAGTTTATCTATCTGTCTGCAAGAATCAAAAATTTAAAACCTATTACCTATATCAAAATCCATATTGGCATATCATTTCAGATTGTTCAAAAAATCAAAACCCATATCTTTCAGTTCGGGTTCGCCGTTCGCAAGTTTCAGCCGCTGTCTCTCAACTCTCAAGCTTACCCCCCTCTCTCTCTGCAACTGCTAACTTGTATGTATGGGTTTTTTTTAATTTTTTTTTTTTTTTTTTTTCTAAATCAACTAATCAAGGTCTGTAATTCTTGTTTTGCAAACTAAATCTTATTTGGTGAAATTTTTTATGATCTTATATATATATATATATATATAGACACACACACACACAATATAAAGTAACAAAATTTGCATCGCATTTTGAGGTAATCACCGTAATCTACATTTTATTTCAGCAAAAAATATATATATATATTTTTATTAATAAAACTTCTATTTCTGTATTTTTTTTTTTTTGTCAATTATGTCTACAAGAAAATTTTAATCTGGGCAAGAAAAAAGGAAAAAAAAAAAAAAAAAATCTAAATTGGATTAGAAATCTGCATAGATTGAATCTGAAACAATTTTTATCAACATGCCAAGCTTTTTGAAGATCGAAATATTTTCAGAACTAAAAAAAAAAATCATAACAAGAACTTTGACAAGCAAAAGTACTTAATATACGGTACACTTCTAAATTTGCTTCTTGAAAATTAAAATACTTCCAAAAAACATGCTTTTGAGTGAATTCCATAGCGTTGGAAGGGGCTTGCCATGAACTACCTCACACTCTGCTTCCACTAGTAGATTTTCAAATAGGATTAATAAATTGGTCAAAAGAAGAGATAGGGTACTGAGTGGTGAATTATTCAGAAATAAATTGGTAATTGTTTTTATTAATTACCCAAATATGATTTTGTATGCCTTAAATCAGTCAATTGTCTAAAGAAACATTGTTAGTTAACTAAAATTAAATTAAACAACAGTTGGTTTTGGTTGATATATTTTGATTTAGCCTACTCCATTGAGAAATACTGGATCGGCCCTACTAATAATGTTTTGTTTCACATAGAAATACAATCTGTGTAATGCACGAAGGATATATTCAATCTTTCTACCTTATTTTTATTTTCAAATTTTTATTTTTGATTTTCTTTTGTTATTAGAATGCATAATATCAGAATATTGATTTGTTAATTTTGAAGATTGGTCCTAAACTGATGCATTGTACTTTGTTATTGGATTAATTTAACATAAGAGCCGAGCATTTAACTTTGTTATTAGATTGATTCTAGATGACGATTCTTCTTAATCAAATGTATATCTATGCAACTGGATTATGTGATTCTAGATTATGATTCTAGATGAGGATGTTAATGCTCTAGTGATGATGAATGATGATGTTGATAAGTGTTGATGAGGATGTTAATTACTTCTGTTATATATGTTGATGCACTCAAATTAAGTTTGTTGTTTGAAAGCACATAGAATTGAAAGAAATTTAGAGTTGAAGACATACCATTGAGCATAGTATCTAATTCTTAGAATTGAAGGAAATTTAGAGTTTAAGACATACTGTTGAGCATAGTGTCTAATTCTTTTAGTTGCAAGAATCTTTGGTCAATTCACACACGATTTTTCAGTTATTGAAATTCTGAAACAATGGTGTGTAATATGATTCATCTACTTGGGCTCTCTTCTTTTTCACATCTCTAAACCCTAATTTTATTTCTAAAAAAGAAAAAAGAAGACTGTGCAATTTTAATTTAACTTTATTAGTTTGAACATTCATAGAGGAAATGTTGAAACAAAAACAGCAAAGACATAGAAGTGAAAGAGAGAGTCCACCAATAAGAATTACCCAACTTAGGACAAAATAAGCTCTCTGAGCTGTTACCTGTGAGTCTTGACTAATATTGGCATGGGAGACTTCTATAGATATAGACTTCTAAAGAGAAAGATATATGGAGAGAGATTGGGGGCACAAAAGTGTATGACAACTGTGAACCAACGATAGGGTTGTGAGCTTTTGGCTTGTTTAATGCATCGGATCTCGGAAGTGTACAACAATGAAATGGAAAGTTCTGAGTTGGCTTGTTTCATGCATTGGATCTCGGAAGTATACAACAATGAAATGGAAAGCTATGATGCACTCAAAGTTACAGACAGAGACAATAATTAATATTATATATTTATAACTTACTTTACTAATCTAATATGATACTAACGTATAACATACATACATATATTTATATATATGTTTGTAACTTTATACTTTGACTTAAATATATTTTGATTTAGCCCACCCTATTAAGAAATCCTGAATCCGCCTTTGGTTAGGTTTCATTTCGTCAATTCCTTTATGTTTCAGCCTTGCAAAAATTTTGATTTCTCATAGGATGCCAGCAGAGTCCTAAAAGCAACACCCCTTGTCGACATCGTTTATGAATCGTCTTTGAGCCTACAACTTTTGTTCTTAAATAAGGTCGTAGGGGGATGTGAATGCCCCCAACTCTCTTTGTTAATCTTCATTACTTTGATCCTGAAGACCAACGTAATAGGATCGAAATCCTATGATGGTATCCCCTTGTTTTTTTTGGAAGGTAAAGAGTATAAAGAATTTTGACTTGTAAATGATATGTTTCATTATACACTTTACCATATGACCCAGCCCTGTAGAGCTTTTTCCCGGGGAACCATTTTAACTATTTTATGTTCCCAAACACTAGGCATAATTTCTATGTTGTTTAGAAGTATTAGAAAAAATCATCAAACTATTTTATGTTTCCAAACACTAAGCATAAGCCAAATGTAAGTATTAGATTCTGTTTCTTTTTTATGCCGAAGCAAAAGCTCTGTTCTCATATTCACAAAAGTTTAATCATTGATTGTAAGGTCCTGAACATATATTATGGATGTTTTTGACCAAAACCACTATGAGTAAGTCAAAATTTTATATATATATTTTATAAGTTAAAATAAGATAAGGAAAAAATATAGCTACTCTAAATTGGGAGGAAGTTCTAGATTATTCACTTTTTTTTGTTTGGAATATTGTTTCTTTCCAGATTGCTGTTGGGCAGTGCAGGGAGCAAAACTAACCGAAGCGACCTACAACATCCGCTACCAAAGGCGCAAAGCCTTTGCAGATAGATAGAGAGGTGTTGAGCTTTCAAGAGCCCATGGACCAAATGTATTCGGTTCATTCTCTCATACCAGACAAAGAAAAATACTTATAGCTCTGGACGGAAATGATTATGGTCATGTCGTGTGGACTTTGTTGTACGCAATAGATTATGGATTGTACGGGGCACAGGACTATCCTTTCCTACATAAGAAGGGCCGGGAAAAATTGATCTATGATAGTGAGATTTTATGTATTACAATTATATTTAAAATTAAAAATTTTAAGTTATTATATGCTTATGTATTTATATATCTACTATAACAGGTTTCAAAATTTGCCATAAATGATTACGGTCAGGTAGTAGGCCACTGATAAGGGCATCCTACAGAAACTGAAGGAAGGCCCATTAGCATCCCCTCTCTGAGTCACAAAGTTATTTCAAGAATACAATGGTGTAAGTGATTTTTTATCAAGGTTAAGACTCTGATTGATTTGTTTTGAGCATCTAACGTCTAGGAAAAATGAGAAAAATGTGTCTTTTTCCCTCAGTGTTGTGGGGCTACCCGTTAGTAATGTGGTTTGGCGCCTCTTGGACTATTTGGGTATTTGGCAAAGTTCCACATTCTACTTTAGTGTTACCATAGATTCATGTAGATTCAAAAACTAATATTTAAAGAGATACTTTGCATTGCAAGACGACTCTTCACTTTATTTATAGAATCAGTTCACATTCTATTTATAGGTCAGGAATGCCTACTATGATACTATCTATACACAAGTTTAGAATACGGGTTTGATACACAAGTCTATGCAAAAGAATATCCAAGAAATCTATAGAAAGTTGGATAAATATAGAAAATTATGTGCAATAAAATTTTAGGATGTCGTGTGATGCGAGGCCCCCACCGCAAGGTCCGCAACCATCCATTCAGTCACTCTCATTAGTAGAGTGAATTAAAATTTTTGCTGATTAAATGGTCAAATATTATCATGATACATCATTCATCATTCATCATTCATGTGGTGGTAATTTATGTGGTTTATTGCTTCCTAAATGCCACATTTAGTTACCTCCTAGTGTTAGGTTCAAGGGCGGTCAAGCCCACCCAAAAAATGAAAAATTTACTATACTAATTTTGACCCAGCCCCCCCTCCTGGGCCCTGTAGAGCTTTTTCCCGGGAACCATTTTAACTATTTTATGTTCCCAAACACTAGGCATAATTCCTATGTTGTTCAAAAGTATAGAAAAAATGATCAAACTATTTTATGTTTCCAAACACTAAGCATAAGCCAAATGTCATTATTAGATTCTGGTTCTCTTTTATGCCGAAGCAAAAGCTCTATAACGTTCTCGTTTTCACAAAAGTTTGATCATTGATTGTAAGATTATGGATGTTTTTGAATATGTATCAGAGGTGGTTTACACCCCTATGAGTAAGTCAAAACTCTTCATATTCTTTTTTCTTTTTTTTTTTATGTTTTATTATAAGTTAAAATAAGATGAGGAAAAAATATAGCTACTTTAAATTGGGAGGAAGTTCTATTAGATTATTTCAATTTTTTGTTGTTTGGAATATTGTTTTTCCAAATTAGCGAGCAAAACTAACCGAAGCGACCTACAACATCAGCTACCAAAGACGCTTTGCAGATAGAGAGGTTGATCTTCCAAGAGCCCATGGACCAATTGTATTCGGTTTATTCTCTCATACCCAGACAAAGAAAAATACTTATAGCTCCGTACGGAAATGATTATGGTCGTGTCGTGTGGACTTTGTTGTACGCAATAGATTATGGATTGTACAGGACACAGGACTATCCTTAACTACATAAGAAGGGCCTGGAAAAATTGATCTATAATGTGATTTGTACACTACTCGGGTATTTGGAAAGATACACATGCTATTTTGGTTTAAAATCATTTATAACTTTCTCATTGAACTATTTGGGTATTTGGCAAAGGTCCACATACTACTTTCGTGTTATCATAGATTCATGTAGATTCAAGAACTAATATTTAAGTAAGACGACTCTTCACTTTATTTAAAGCTCCATACACAAGTTTAGAATATGGGTTTGATACACAAGTCTATGCAAAAGAATATCTAAAAAATCTATGGAAAGTAAAATATATGTAGAAAATTATGTGCAAGAAAATTTTAGGAAGTCTTATCCGTGTGATGCGTGGCCCCCACCGCAAGGTCCGCAATCATTCATTCAGTCAGTCTCGTTAGTAAAGTGAATTATCAGAAAATTTTGTTGATTAAATGGTCAAATATTGTCATGATAATGAGGTGCTAATTTATGGTTTATTGCTTTGTAAATGTGACATTTAGTTACCTCCTACTGTTAGGTTTCCTTTCCTCAGTTCCTTTAAATTTCAGCTTTGCAAAAATTTTGATTTCTCATAAGGTGCCAGTGGAATCCTAAAAGCAACTTTCTTTGTCGACATCAGGATGGTATCTGATCGTATTTGAGCCTTCAACTTTCGATCTTGAATAAGGTCGTAGTGGGATGTGAATTCCTCCAACTGTCCCTGTTAATCATCATTACTTTGATCTTGAAGACCAATGTAATAGGATCGAAATCTTATGATGTTATCCCCCTTTTTTTTTATTTGGAAGGTAAAGAGTAAAGAATTTTGACTTGTACATGATCTTTGACTTAAAGATGCTGAGAAGTGAGAGCTTATTAAAATTTCATGAAATAAAAGCTATTTTTGGGGACAAATTCAAGAGCTGAAAGTGAGAGCATGGAACCCATTACCCAATTCATTTCAATTTAACAAAAAGCTAGAGACAAATATTTCGATGTTGTACTTGGAACTCATAATTCAGTGAGAGCGGATGTTAAAGAAGGCTTCTTAGCCTAATATTAACATCATTGAACTCTGGAGTGTCTACAATTACCCAAGATACTTCGACAAATTGCATCTTTCACCCTTCATTCCACCAAAATGTCGAATTAAGCAATTTGAGATGCTTCCCCCCAAAAAACAATACCAACCTTGTAGCAAATTCTAAAATTTTAACTTTGTGACCCCTATTCAAGATGCCAGAAGCACTTCTTCTAGCAACATGAAACAGTAGCCATCATTATACAACCACTGATAAGGATGAAAGTAAACATTCAGAGACAAGTGAATTAGTTCAGCATTAGTCTATAAATGTAGACTGTTCATACCGGTCCTAAATAGTCAATTGTCCAAGAAAAGTACGAGCCATGAACATAGTTAGACCTTCACAGGGATGATCCTTCTTTTAGATTTGAGGAAACAAGATGGCAAACAGTTACTAAAAAATATAGCCTACAACGTATCACAACAGCTAATTAGAGTTTGAAGCCATGTATTATATCTTAGGTTTAGGAAATGGCGTATCACAACAAACAATTAGAGTTTGAAGCCATGTATTATATCTGAAGTCTAGGAAATGGCAACAAACATTGAGGGGAATATAACAAGCAAAATAATAATGTTGCTAAACACACTTCAGTAGTGAAAACCAGAATCGATGTTTGTCTCATTTTAAGTGATAATATAACTATTCAGATAGGGTTGATTTCAGCTCACCATTGTCTCGCAGCTCCATCACAATATCACAACCTCCTATCAACTCGCCTTTGTAATAAAGCTGTGGAAAGGTTGGCCAGTTTGATAAGGTCTTTAGCCCCAGCCTCACTTCCTCATCCGTTAGAATATCAAAAGACCCAAATTTTACACCCTCTTCCCTTAGGGCATTCACAACCTTGGAGCTAAATCCACATCTTGGAGCATCTGGGATACCCTTCATAAAGAGCATAACAGATGAAGAGGAAATCAATTTCTTCAAGCGGTCCTCAAGACTCATCTCCTGAGTGATCCCTCTCTCAGTTAAAATCTTCGTAAGCTCTCCACTCTTCTGCATCTCCAACACAATGTCTGATCCACCAATAAGTTCACCCTTTATATATAATTGGGGGTAACTAGACCAGTTTGAGAAAACTTTGAGCGCTTGACGGACTTCTTCATCAGAAAGAATGTCAAAACTCTCAAAATCTACTTTTTCTTGATGAAGAATATCGACTACCTTTCGGCTGAAACCGCATTTAGGTTCATCTGGTTTTCCCTTCATAAACAGCATAACTGGGCCTGAGTTGATCAGGCTTTCTAGGCGAGATGTCAGGGTTGCACTCAAGCCAGTGGCTTCAGAGATTCCACCCTTTCCACTACCAGGTTCAGTCACTTTCACCTCACTAGAATCAAATATTTCAATACCATGATCTCTGAAAACTTCTTTTAGTTCACCACTCTCATGCATAGCAATTGCTATGTCAGACCCACCAAGAAGTTCTCCCTTGCAGTAAAGCTGAGGAAAAGTTGGCCAGTTGGAAAACTTCTTCAACCCCTCGCGAACTTCATTGTCTGTCAGAATATCAAAGCTTCCAAATTTGACCTTTTCTTCCTTCATAATTGCAACAACTTTTTGGCTAAAACCACACTTAGGCTCCTCAGGATTTCCTTTCATGAAAAGCATGACTGGGTGAGAATTAACAAGCTGTTGGAGTCGCTTTTGCAGTCCATCGCCAAGGTTAAACGACAATTGGTTTTCCACTTGAGATGTGCCATTTTCCTTGGAAAACTCCTTGATCGTCTCAAGAATAGTGGGTCCAGCAGCCATACCTAGGCTGGCAGGAGCTGCTGGTTCCCCTGGGTTGATCGGTCCAGCAACTTCAGCAACTTTGTGAGCCAAACTAGATGGGTCTGCACCCTCCAATGTATCGGCAGTTTTACCATCCTAAGACAGAAAAAAAAGTATAGTTGCTGACTTGGGAGAATTACAGAGGGAAAAGTGAAAGTAATTACCTCTATAAAATGAGCAAGTTAAAAAATAAAGTATGAAATACTTATAATTTATACCATCAGTGATATAGACTGTATTGCATTTTGCAAAAGAGTTACGTGCCAAAGAAAAAATATTTGCAGTTTGTTAGTTTTCATCTCAACTCAACTAAACCTTTTCCCAACTAGATTGTTGGTTAGTTCCACACTTCTCTTTGGGAAAAATAAAAGGCGGCAAATTCCAGCACGTCATAAAACTACAAAATATGAACTAAGGAGTTTAATATAAAAACTTAAAAGCTTCTTTCTTGCCTTTGGAAAGCAAAAACATTGCAACATCCAAGTAAGCACCTAATGCTGCTTGCAAGGCACTACTGCATCAGCAGCAGCAGCAGCATCTCTGGGAATAAATCCAATAAAAAAATTGGAATGTCATCCAAAAGAATTTTTTTAGTAAAAATAAATTAAAAATAAAATAATTGCATCCTAAATTCCTAATATACTTATTGTATTGATTGAAAATAGTTAGAACCAAATCTTTTGCTACCTACAATAATTTGAGCAAACTAAAAATAACAAGTAACAAATCAGTATTTACAAAACAAATAAAATAATGGAATATTTTGCTTTTAAACTCACCTTCAAGAATACAAAATAAGGCACAGCAGAAACTGAATAAGCCTCAGAAATCTCTGGTTGTTCTTCAGCTTCTACCTACAATATTTTGAGCAAACTAAAAGGTAAAACAAGAATAGAATTATGAGGTAAGAAAACAACCACGACCATCCCCATATAATAAGAAGTGAGCAGATCACTGATTTATACTTAAAAAATAAATCTATAACCACGGTAAACAAATTCCAACATGAGATCCACAAAAAGAAGACATGCAACACACAAGACAATCATTAACCATCCACATATTCTTTTCTTTTTATTTTCACTTGTTTTTACTTTTGATTTTTGCATGATACACCTAGGAGAACGATGTTTCACATTTAACATCAAGAAGCCCCAGCTACAGAAATGTGAAGCACAATGAACTGCATACAACAATTAGTCAAATAGAGCAATGCAAAATATGACCTTAAACCCCAATTTAAACTAAACTAGACACTAGTACTAGTTAGAACCAAATGTTATAGGTACATGATGGCAAAAAATGCAAATGCTTCCTCAATTATTGATGTGGTGGGAAATTCCACGCCCAACTTCGCAAGGGGAAATTGATATTAGTTTAGTCACCCACCAACCTGTAGGATTTTAAACAAGAGCTCTTAAAATTTCATCCCTCAAATTCGCACGATAACTCAGAGCAAAAAAATCATTTTACTTACGAATGCAAACAGAAACTGTACATCAATTTCGGCCAACATTTGTCCATTAAATTGATAAAGCTTCTCCTAGGTTAATTCTCGTCTACCCATATCAATTTCTATAGCATCCACAATAGATGATGACCTCGATGCACACCATCTAGAGAAACCAGCAATTGTGCAGCTACAAGATGATAGTAGCAACATAGACTCATGGAACTGCAGCATAGACCACATTTCGGCCAACCCCTCAAAGCTAAGGAAGAAAGAAAGAAAAACAAAAATTCAAAGCTGTAATAGCAACTTCTTTTTTCTTCTTTGTTCTCTTAAACTTCTAACAAACTTGAAATATATTTAATCAATCCTCACCTCTAAGAGTATTTAACCTGCAATTTAAGGCATTCTATGTCATGCAAATCTTTAAAAAGAGCGCAATACCACCACCTTCTCATTTCCCTTGCAACAATACAATTTCTCCATCAAAGGACTCCAAACTCCCAGTCCCGTTTGAAAGGAAAAAATTTCAACTTGTCCTTATCACAATCATGATGGTGCTAATATTATTAGGTGCTATAGGTCGATAATATAAAAAGCAATCAACACAAACAACATAAAACTCCATACACACTGTCCTCCTTAAGAACTCCGTATTGAAACGATACCCTTGTTATGCTTTGAGTAACATGAAAATGTTCATGTGAAAGAAGGTTGGGTCAGATTGCCTTAGCTACAAGAACAAATTTCTTCTCGTACTAGCAAAGAATCAATATTGGGCATTCAATTTCTCAACTTCTAGGCAACTCTCTATCCAGCTTCATCTTTTTAGCCATTTTCTCCTCTATTTATGCTAATTTAACTAGAGGCAAAGTAACCAGTCCATTAAATGGTTTGCCTCTCTTTCATATACTAAAAACAACTCTTATTCATGTCATTGTAGTCACTTTTGGCTGGAGCAATGACCATCCACTGTCTGCCTTTGTCTATCAAAATAGAATTTGGAGTTCTTAAACAAAAGAATTCAATATGTTTTGTATTTCCAAAATCTAAATTAGTCTGCAATAGTTTTAGCAACAACATAAACAAACTGCTATACCAAAATTTTCCAAGGCCGCAGTTCCTTAGTACTCAAATGAAACAAAAGTATGCTACCTGAAATTAAAGTTATGGACTCTGTTCTACCGTTGTGCATATGTAGATATATTGTACATATATTTGACAAAATTTTACGTTGGTTGTCAAACCACCTAATGCAACTCTCCTTTATCCCGGGCTTGGGACCGGTTGTGTAAAGGACACAAGCAGATACATAGACATATCATGCATATTAAAAAATAAAATAAAAATAAAATCTTTGAGGATATACTCTATTAGCATTTGTATTAGATGGGATGTGGTAGGTAAAGAAGAAAAAAATAAGATGAAGATTTTTTTTTTTTTTTTTGTTTAGAGATGGGATATCCTCTATCTAATACCAAATTGTAGTTTTTTTTTCTTCTTCTTCCATTATCATGTGTAGAGGATCAAGAAGTCTGGACATAGTTCTGCGTATCATCCATGTGGCAAAAGGGTTTTCATTTATTAGAAGTAGGATATCCTTACAGACTATCAAATTGGAGCTCTTTTTTTCCCCTTCAATTGTCATATGTAAAGCATATGTAGCTTTAATTATCATATGTAAAGTGTTCAAATACAGTTACGCATATTGGCCAAGTCCTAACGAACTTGACCAGACATTTAACTCACCGATATATCTATCAGTGTGCAAGGTTGAGAAATTTTTATAACTTTGATAACCAACTCTCTTACGTACGCCAAATACAGTCCCGTATCCGTTACACATCTATCGGACACATGTTTCATGATCATACCCACGTATTCCCATGTTGTTGACACAGCTACACTAGGAGAGACAAAAGAGTCCATGCAACATAGATTGGCAAAAAGATGCACTTACAAAGTATTTTTTTCAACAGAACTCTTTAACTCTTTGGCTATAGAAACTTGTGGCAGAAGTCCAGACTAAACGATTGTTGCACGATGTCATCATGTATTGACTCAATGTGACTGGAAAAGCAGTGCACCATGGGTGCACATATGGACGGGACGGGAGAAGGGTTTCCTTACAATATTTTACCGTATTGGAGATAGAAAATGGATGGACCAAGAACCTTATATGAAATTCTTTATATATATATATATATGTAGTGTTTAAGAAGTCAGTTTTGTTGGGTTGATTAAAACGCCTCCAATTTGACACTGACTGCCCTATTATAAAATTACATCCATTAATTTGATCTCTCATATAGTAAGTCAAGACTTAACATTGATATAACAAGACACGTTTAGAACTTACCAAACCATTTATATAGCATAGGCTATTCAATTCCAATATTTACTCTCTGCAAGGAACATTAACAATTACCCTAATTCCATTAGATTTATCCAAAAGAATAAATACAACCACAAACACATAACTTTTTTACAATGCAAAACACATCTTACAAAAGTTACAAACCGGGAGTTTTAATTTCGAAATAATGGAATTATAGGTTTTGGGCGACAAAACATATGGTCACACGTGTAATGACCTGACCTCAACTTCACCAATTAAACCTGATTCCTCCCCTCCAATGCTTCTTCCATCTCTTGCCAAAAAGAATAAAATAAAATAATAACAATAAAGGTCCAAGCTCTTTAACTTGAGACAAAGAATTTTAACAAGTGATTATTTGAAAGGAACATATGACCCTCCATAAACTCCACAATAGCGGGGAGCCTCGTGCACTTGGCTAACCCTATTATTTGAAAGGAACAAGTTGCAAAGTTATGTTGAAGCAACTGGTTTAAGCTTTGGTGAGTGATGAGAAAGGGAGCAAATGAATTTCGCTCTGATGCAAGATCAATATACCATCCTCCACCTCCCCTTTAATTTGGATCTTCTCTAGCTAATTGCCCATAAGGAGGCCCCAACAAAGACTAATCAAGCAACGTATATATATTCCCATTGTGTCGGTCATTCTATTAGTCTTATTCATATTTTCTCAATTCATACCCAACACAAAATCAATTTATTGGGTATTTCCACAAGTTTGCCAGAATTAAAAAAATAAAAAATAAAATAAAATCCCACTAATTATCAGTCCAATCACAGAAAGAAACATCATATAAAATCGTAACAAACAAAAACACCAATAGGACAACAAGGGATAACTAAAGTGAAAATAGAAATAAAAGACACAATCCATAAAATACCTCTACAACAATATGTACACACATAAATATAGAGAGAAAATACCCTGAGGAAGTGAGCGTGAGGGAAATCAGTGGAGAGGTGAGAGAATAATTGGTCCATCTGTTTGGAAGCATCGCACCAAGATGCCCAGAAGTGAAGGATCACCGGTGAACCCTTCCCAATCAGGCTATCAAGCTCACCCTTTGAATGCAAATCTTTTACAGAACCACCCATTTCTTCTCGAGCAGCACCAGCGAGAGTAGGGAATATATAGAGAGAGAGAAAAAGAGATTGTTGGTTTGTGAGACAGAAGCCTACTGTGTTTTTTATACTCTTGGTCGCAAAACCTAAAAAGGCAACAGTTTTTGCGTCAACCAATGAAACCATCAATCACTGACCGTCCATTTCTTTTTATTCCTTAGTATCTCTGCTTTATAGACCGTCCATTCTTTTATTCCTTAGTATCTCTACGATATAAACAAAAAAATAATTAAAAATCTCAAACAGAAAAAAATAATAATAATAAAAAAATAAAATGAAATTCTTTAGTACCATTAATATTTATTATGTGATTGTTTATATTTATATACTACTCTTATTCTAATAATTATAACGAAAAAAAGAAGTAAAAACATTTAATATAAATAAAAGAATTAATTAACTTACCAAAAAAAATTGATCAGTAAAAAAGGATCCACCTCTCTCATCTTCGGATTGGGCTTGAACTTGAGCAAAGGGTCCACTTTTCTTACTTGTTTGCTTTCAAAAGCCCTTGCAACATAATATTAGCACAAAAAGGATTTAGCCTCAAAAAAAAAAAAAAAAAAAAAAAAAAAAAAAAAAAAAAAAAAAGCGCCTATATGGATCAACATACACTGGTTTCTTGATGATGTTGTAGATAATCAAAATTCTAACACAATTATTTCAAACCTTAATTGAGTTGAAAATCTTGATTTATTGTGTTGTAACGGAGGACATTTCATTGAATCAATATAGTTTTTTAAAAACTTCAATAAAATTATTTTGAACCTCAAAATAAGGATGCTAAATCTTTGAAATAATGATGTTAAGTGTTGAATCTCGATTTAATATGTTTGCTCAACACCAATATTTGGTGTTGGTGTTAAGCAACACATTAAATTTTTGTGTTGAATAATACTTTAAATTGAGATTCATCGCAATTATTTGAAGACTCAAAATAACTTTGCTGAAATCTCCAAATAATGATGTTAAAAAACACATTAAAATGAGATATAACACAAACTCCTACTCTTTAGCCCTTTCAACTCTCAATGTGTATATATATATGTATTACAAAACAATGTCCAAATAATGGGCTGATCAAAGTTTATTCATTGTTGAAAGAACAGGCAACTGAAAATTGTGCAAGTCACGGATAAATTGGGGCAATACTTTTATCCTCCTAAAGAATTACAAATATAAAGCCAAAACTTTTTCAATAAAAATAAATAATGGTTCCTTGTAGTGAAGGTGATAACATTATACGAGGTACAAAAATTTGCAAAAGAGTAGGAAAAAAAACAGCAAATAGTATTCTTAAAACACATTAAACTGTAATAGCAAGCATCACACAGCAAAAAGAAGCTGTATTTTCAACTTCATTGATCGAAGAAGCACCGTCCATGTTTGACAAGCTTCAACTTCAACAATTGAACTCTTTTAGGTTGTTTCTTTCCCTTTGAATCTTTGATTGCCAGTTCTTCACTTGTGGAGGAAAATTTGTGTGGCTTCACCTTCCCTCAAGTGCTTGACTGGTCTCCTGACTCGAATCTTTAGGTACAAGGAACAATTCCCTATTACAAAAACCCTCGAAAAACTAGGTTTACAATGTACTCCTTAATATTTCACAACTATATCAGTTGGTCGATAGAACTCACACTTTAGTGGTCTTCATTGTTTTGTAGCAAAACTCAAACGTTTTGGATTTATTTCGTCCACACGGATCAATATTGTTCCAGCACTCCCTTCTTCAGTCCACTTGATAGACTCTTTTTTCAATAACTTTATAATCTGTCCATATAAAAAATGAAGAAATAATGCGGTCTATGAATAAAAAACAATTAAGCTAAGGCACCACTCCCTTAATAGAAGTTCACGAAATAAATTAATCGTACACAGCACTTAATATCATTTGCACAATTCAGTAGCAGCATAGCTAATGGTTAAGATACTAAGAGCATCTCCAATGGTAAAATGCTAAATTCGGATGCCAAATCTATATGTTGACAGTGCTACAGTGTCAAAATGATACATTCTAGCAATTCTGCTCCAATGATGCTTTTTATGCAAAATGCTATTTTTTGACACAACCACTATTCTTTTTCAACTACCATTCCCACCATTCATATTTGCATTACTAATATTAATATTAGGCACATTTCAAATCAAGTTGTAAACATTAGAAGGAAACTAAAATTAAACTAAATTAAAAAGAATCAAAAATCTAAAATATCTGGTCAAAAAATGACCCAAATATATATATATATATGTATAAATTTATATATTTGATTATATTATTATATAATTTTTTTTTATATAATTTTTTTTTTGTTTTTCGAAAATTTATATATATATATATGTATATTATATATATTCGATTATATTATTATTAATATATATATATATATATATATATATATATATAGGGCAAATCATTTCAGCCTCCCAAATCGCCATATATAGTTTTAGGGCAAATCATTTCAGCCTCCCCAATCGCCTCCATCTCTATTCTCGTTCTCAACTCTGAAATTGCCCCCCCCCCCCCCCCCCCCCCCCCCCCCCCCCCCCCCTCTCTCTCTCTCTCTGCAACTGCAAACTACAAAATCAACAAGAATCAGAAGTTCAAAACCCATATCTTTCAGTTTCCATCGCCCGTTGTTCCAGTTCGGGTTTGCCATTCGCAAGCTTCAGCCGCTGTCTCTCAACTCTCAAGCTTGTCCCCCTCTCTCTCTGCAACTGCTAACTTGTACGTATGGGTTTTGTTTTATTTTTTTTCTAAATCAACTAATCAATGTCTTTAATTCTTGTTTTGCAAACTAAATCCTATTTGGTGAAATTTTTTATGATCTTTTTCAAAACCGATCTGAGAAGAAAAAGATATATATATATATATACACACACACACACACATATGTGGATGAGAGGGGAAGAGAAAGAGAGAGACGGATAGGATTGAGAGATATCGAAATAGCTGTTGCTATAAGTTTTGCTAGATTTGGCACCAAAAATAGCAAAGGCAATTTTTGGCAGGTGAAATAGCAGAGCTCATTGGAGGGTCTAATTTTAACCCACCTACTATATTTTGAATTGGCAGCCCATATAGCAGGTGGGTTGGAGATGCTCTAAAGGGGTTTCATTGGCCTTGCCTCGAACCTGACAAACGTAGAAACCATTACAATACTTGTCTAATTTTTGGTTGAGCTGAGCTCCCATTAATAACACATGTAGTTCAGCTCATTTTCCAATATTTATGAACAAATTATGTACATTTCTTCAATTTGGAGTGAAAATGGCACTTCCAAGGGTGAAGCAAAAAAAGAATTTGTTAGAAAACGTCTTCAACCCTACGGATACCAACTTGATTAAACCTAACCTGTAAGAATAGATTCATTTTTATTTAATTAGAAGTGAAAATTAAACAGCTTTTAGGATGGCATTTTCTGGGGTACAGAAGGGTGGCAAGAGAGCGAACTAGGTACAAAGCATTCATAACTCTATGCCAACTTGATATAGCCCAACCTATTCAGAACCTAACCCGTCTTTAAAATGTCTGCTACGAACCCAAATGCATATGCCTCCCCCCCGGCGAGCACGTCACTGAGCCCGTCCCTGCCTCCGGTCAATCCCATTAAGGAGGAGGAGGGAGGGGCATGTTTAATCATCTAATACATACACGCCGATGCCCAGAAACAGAATAACTGATAAGTTCAAAACTTAAACCTGCCCAAATTTCAGTCGAATTATATGACTCGAGCAATCTTGAGGATTGTTGACCACTCTGTTGCCCTATTCTCAACCCAACCAGAGCAATTTTCATAAAACTAGGCAACAATTTTTAGGTCATCATTGGTTCCCTAGATTCCTTTTGACAGGAAGATTGGCAAGCCATTATAAACGAAACTAGGTTCATCAATTAGATATAGATCTGAATTTTATATACTTTCTAGGGTGCCAATTCAAGCCATCATCTTAACATCTTGCCTTTCGTAATACATCAGCCCATAACAATTTGAACAAGAGAAGCATTTTTCTTACCAATCGTTTACGAGCCCCTTTTGACATATCTTCATCATTTGTCTCCACAATAACCTTGAGGTACTTTATAGCTGACAAGGAAGATGATACAGATTTATGTCTATATTCAATGGATCTATTCATGACCAAAATAGATTGTGAGAGTAACTGCTTACATTGGATGCCAGAAACGGAAGAAAGATGACACTTCAGAAGACGAATCGCCTCCTTGGTCCCGCAGTTATGCAAGTCGAGAGATATTGTGTCTTCAGTTTCCCCATTTCTACACACAGACAATTAAGGGTAAAACAAAAGATACTAGAACATTCCCTACCCCGCAACCCAACATTTGAGCACAAAGTACTAACCTGGTATCAAAGATCTGTTTAGAAGATTCTTCATCTGCTTCGCGAGCCCTTCTGTTAAAAAAGTTTCCCTGGTCACACCAACATCAATTAGATTCATGCATCAATTCAGACACTTGAAACCCAGACCATGTCAAATGCTGGTATAAATTATAAACTTTAAATTAGAGTTCAGATATCACTGCTACTCTGCTGCAGCCAGAAGCTATATCAGAATAACTCATCGAAAGTCCGCTGAAAAGCTGATCAGAAAGATAGCTGGAGATGCCGGCTAAAAATTTTATGCCATAGAATGCGGGAAAGAACCTAGAGAGAGAGAGAGAGAGAGAGAGAGAGAGAGAGAGATGGATTGCTTTCTGTTTATGTTCGGAGGTCTGTTATGCAGCCTAATTTATAGTTTTCGGTGGCCTGGGCCTAAAATGGCCCTAATAAATGTGTAGCAGCTCGCCAAACACCGTTATTAGGTGCAAAATGGATAAAGAAAAGCCCAACAAAAGTGATTGTAGTCTGACAGGTAGTCCATTTTAATATGTTAGATGCGAACAAGATATGGTTGCATGACCCACACATCCCAGTTCGAGCTAGCTCAGCATGGCACAGCATGCATTTGTTGCACGTACATTGGGCCTCGCACGATGATGCATGCATGAATACTTTTTCAACCTGGCCTATACCATGCATAGGGCTCCTTTTGGGTAAGTTATTAACTAGCCCAAACTTACACTATCATGCAAGTCTATTTGTAACTCTTTAGTTTAAGTGATGTTGGACAAGGCTTCTGTTTTTTTTTTTTTTTTTTTTTTTTTGAAGCATTCCAAAACCTATTAAATCAGTAATAAGGATTCTGTCAGATGCTACTAAAACAAACACTCAGTTTATAAACAACTCTAGTTTGCCAACAATATTCTTTTTCTTTATTTTTTTAATCTTGGTTTTGTTCATCATTGATATAACTCATAAAAATAAAAACTAAATATACAATTAACAAAAGGATGTTCTTTTTGGTCAAACAAGAATAAGGATAAAAGTTTCATTTATTTCCACCAAGACGACTGAAACATTTCCATTCCCAAGTGAATAGGAAAACCAACACAACTGTTTCTTTTTCTTTTCTGTTTTTTTTTTAAAAAAAAAAAACGAAGTTGCTTCCATAGAAGCATACTAAAATTTCATGCTGACAACTACCTAAGAATTATAGAAGGTATCTTCATTTTTATTTTGCAAAAGAAGGGGGACATTAAAAGATTTAGATACATCCAATTTCTTTGAGAAATAGGAGATAAAGAGAAGTAGAAAATAGAGGAATAAAGGAACAATGAAAATTAAATAATACTTCATTGATAATTTTGTTGGACTAGCCATGTTAATTGTCAATTAGGTTGTTCTTTTATGTGTAACTTGTGGGAGTGAATGGGGCATACAACGAAGACTCACAGGGTCTTCAAGGGCCAGCAAGAGGTTAACGGACTGTCAAAATGTTCACGTTATTTATAGTATATAGTTCATGCTTACTATGTCATAGTGTTATACTATTATTACAAAAACTAACATTACATGAGAAAACTAATTATAGAATATTTCATAGTTGTATTTTACATAAAGAACTAAATCATATTATTTGATTACTTAAGCACACTTGCATATTCTCCTCAATTCCACCATTGCTCTTGTGTGGATGCGTGTTCAGGGCTAAAACATATTCAGTTAGCTAAATATTTGACTTATATTCACAAAGTCGTGTAATTTAGTAATGTTTTGAAGAATCAAGACATTCCAAATTTTTCACTCTATTGCCTTTTTAAGATATTTCCAAAATGTTTCCTTTTCTGAGCCAACCAAAACGACACTTAAAATTGTGTATAAAAGGGGAATGGAAGGTTAAATGCAGTTCTAATTTCTTGAATTCCAAAAGTGAATTAAGGGGGGAAATATAAATACTATATTATACTAATACTATATAGACTAACTTGACCAAGAACCTTCCCACCAAGCACACAGAGAGAGAATGGAAAACAATATCTATTTGATCTCTGCATTTTTAGGTACCAAGTCTAAACTAAGTACTGGACTTGGAGGGCAATTTGGAGAATTCTATGTCTGTATGGATATAATAAGATGAATATGCAATTTTGAGTTAGACATGGGGAGAGCTGTAAGTTCTATGCCTCTACATTTTGGGCCTAGAGCGCCATTTTAGTAATACGAAGATTTTGAATTAAGTTTGTAATGGTCTTTATATTTATTGACAAAGAAGCTTCCTGGGAGGGGAGGGAAGATTTTGCAGAATCATGTGTGAGAGCCTGGGAGGTGTAGCCTAAGGTAGAATGCATGGAAGGTGAATGGAAGGTTAAATGCACTTCTAATTTCTTGAATTCCTAAAGTGAATTAAGGGGGAAAAAATGGAAGTGAATTAAGGAGGGAGAAAATACAAATACTATAATATACAATATATATATTTTTTTGATAAGTAAAATATATTAGAAAAGCGTTCAAAAGGGGAACGCGTCCCTAATACACAAAAACGAAAAACCTAAGGACCAACAGAGTCCAATAGATTAAATAAATCATCAATCGAGAAGCAAGCATTGCCTCTTACATAACAGAAAAGAGAACGAAGAATATGAGATTTTAAGTTTGCTATAGACGATTCCTTTCCTTCAAAATTTCTGTTATTTCTCTCTTCAAATACACCACCAAACACAGTGTGGGACGATCCTCCAAAAATCACGAGCATGGCCTTTAATATGGCATCTTCTCCATGCGTTAATTAATTTAATAGAGTGCTTAGGCATACGCCAAAAATACTGAATATGAGATTCCAACAATCATACGCCACAAGACATGCATAAGAATGTGATCCACGAACTCACCGTCTGTTTTACATAGGCAACACCAGTTAACAATGGTATTACCTCTTTTTCGCAGATTAACCAATGTCAAAATCTTTGCCAGCAAAGATTAGACAAACACAAGAACATGGATCGTACTCCATATCTACCATGAGTGAAGGGAATCCACAAAATGTCATCACAACCTCTGCCAACATCCTTCTGTCTATACAACAAGTCCAAAAAACCACATGATTCTGCCATCTCCCAATCCTAAAAAGAACGCCTAAAACGCACATCCCACACAACCCCACTGCTATCGAGTTGAAAACAGTCAACTACATAAGCATGTTTATTCTCGGCAATACTAAAGAGACGAGGAAAGGAAAGAGACAACAACTGATCACCACACCATAAGTCTTCCCAAAATCAAACATACCTACCATTACGAACCTTGAATCTAATATGGGTGGAAAACACGTCCCAACCCTTCCGAATGAATTTCCAAACGCCAACACCTCCTGTGACAGAAACAAGATGAGAAGACCAACCCCCGCTCTCCTCCCCAAAACGACACGAGACAACTCTTCTCCATTGTTGATGACGCCCTTTACCGAACCTGCATAACCACTTCCCCAATAAAGCTCTATTGAAAGGGACCAGCATCTGAATGCCTAACCCGCCTAATTTCAAAGGTTTGAAAACTTACTCCCAATTAACAAGATAATACTTGAACTCCTCTTCTCTTCCACCCCAAAAAAGTCTCTCTGAATTTTTTCGATCCGTTCAGCAACAGAGCAAGAGATTTGAAACAGAGATAAGAAATAGGTGGGAAAGGACGAGAGGGTACTCTTAATAAGAGTGACCTTCCCCCCCCCCCCCACCCCCCCTTTTCCGAAAGATACTATTTTTTCCATCCTGCCAATCTTTTTTCATACTTGTTAATCACCGGGTCCCAACTCCCCACTCTCTTGGAGGAAACTCTCAAAGGCAATCCCAGATAAGGAAATGGAAAAGCACCCACTCCACACCCAAGAACTGTAACTAAAATATCTGGAACAAGCACACTCTTTCCAACATTGATTTTGAGTCCGGACACCGCTTGGAAACAAGCATGAATGCACCTCAAGTATCTAAGTTGAGAGACATTAGCATCACAAAAAACCAAATTATCGTCCGCAAACAACAAATGGGATATCTCAATATGATGAGCAACATCACTACTGACTGTGAACCCCCCAATGTAACCAGATCCTCAGCTCTTTTCATTAATTTGCTCAATCCCTCCATAACAATAAGGAATAAAAAAAATAATAAGGGATCTCCTTGTCTCAAACCGCGCGAACTCGAAAAAAAAACTAGCAGGAGATCCGTTCACAAGCACAGAGAACATAATGAACGAGATGCAAGATTCAATCCATTTTATCCACCTATCCCCGAACCCCATCCTCCAAAGCAAGTAAAGAAGAAACTGCCAATTAACGTGATCATAGGCTATCTCGATGTCAAGGTTGCATAAGACACCAGGAACTCCACTCTTCAACCTAGAGTCAACACATTCCCCTGCGATAAGAACGGAATCCAAAATCTGTCATCCTCCAACAAAAGCATTTTGTGACTCTAAAATAATTCCATCCAAAACATTTCACATCCTAAGAACAAGGACCTTAGCAAAATGAGCTTATATATACATCCCACTAAGCTGATTGGCCGAAAGTCCTTAATATCGGAGGCGTCACCCTTCTTAGGAATAAGGGCAATGAAAGATGCGTTCAATGATTTCTCGAATGTGCCATGAGAATGAAAATCCTGAAAGGTGCCCATCACCTCACTTCGCACCACCTCCCAGCTCTCCTTTAGAAACCGCATAGTGAATCCATCTGGCCTTGGAGCTTTATCACCATTACAACTTGATAACGCCTTAAGAACTTCCTCTTCAGTGAAAGGAACCTCAAGCCTATCACTATCCAGCGTAGAAATGGCATTGAATTGCAAACCATCAAGTTTAGGTCTCCATCCCAAAGTCTCAGTATAGAGCTGCTAATAAAAAGAAACAATTCCTCCACGCACCTCCTCTTCTCTCCACAACTCTGAACCATTCACACGAATACGCCCGATATGATTGCATCTGCTATGAGCGTTAGCAAGCCTGTGGAAGAATTTTGTGTTGCAGTCACCTTCTTTTAGCCACAATGCCCGACATTTCTGACACTACAAAATCTCCTCCACAACAGCAATCTTGGCAAAAATCGCCTGACAAGACGCTCTTCTAGAGTGTAAAGACTCCGCATCCTGCCCCAGCTCATCAAAACGATCAAGTTCAGCAATATCAGCCAGAACTTTATTCTTCTTCCATTCAAGATTCCCAAACACCTCTTTGTCCCACTTCTTGAGCTAAGATTTGAGAATCTGAAACTTCCTAGCAAGCACATAGCTAGCAGAGCCTATAAAAGTTGTCTCCCCCCACCAAGATTGGACTTTCCTTTGGAAGTCCTCAGATCTCAACCATATATTTTCAAAGCGGAATGGTGTGCGTCTAGATCTCATTCCTTCGCAATCAAGAACTAAGGGTACATAATCGAACGTTACCCTAACCAAAGCTGCCTAAGTAACATCCAGGAACTTCTCTTCCCAATCCCTAAAAATCAGGAATCTATCCAACCTTAAAAGAGTAACTGGATCTCTGCCATTAGACCAAGTAAAAGCTGCCCCTTCCAATGACAAATCAATAAGAAAGTGACCATCAATAAAATCAGGGAACTGGATCATCTCCGAGGACCACCTACCCTCTGTGGATCTCACGAATGGAGACCTAACAGAATTAAAGTACCCGCCTAAGCACCAAGGCAACGACCACAATTCCTTAACATAACTGAGCTCTTCCCAAAAGACAGGTCTATCACAATCAATAACGGGTCCATAGACTCCAGAAAAGACCCAACTGAAATTATCATCCTCCATCTGAAACACACATAACAAAGAAAAGAGCCATTTCCAGAAGTTCGTTCTAGACAACCATCTTCGATCCCACATAATTAGAATTCTGCCCGATGTGCCGGAAGCGTTTAACACTTCCCATTCCACGAACCTTCCTCCCCAAAGACTCATAACCACTTCATCAGTGATAGAGGCCATCTCGGTTTCTTGCAAACATATAACATGGACATTCCACTTCCTCACAGCAACCTTGACCACCCTTCTTCTGTCCGGATCATTTAAACTATGGACGTTCCATGTAATAATTTGTATCTTTATGGAGAACCAAAAATGATCATTTCCCCTCCTCCCCATTTCCCAGTTCTGGTCCTTTCCCTTTCTTTAGACACCCCATCCTTCCCCTCGTAGTTGACATAGGAAATAAGGTTCTTAACCTCTTGTTCCCCTTTCCGATGTGAAAAATGTTTTCTATTTTTAACAACTTTTGTGCTTAGATAGGTCTCTGTATTGTCGTTTTCTGCCACAATAGCATGAAGAATGGATTGAGTTCGGTCGTCATCACCCTTCAAAGAGACACCCAGAGCTTCACTAACCACGCCAATATTTTCAATCACACAGTCCATACCCAAATCGTTAGCCGTCTCTAAGCAATCAAGGCGCACAACTGACAAAGGTTCCATTATGTTCACATCAGATTGATCCATTTCCCAAGAAAAATAATCATGAGGACAGACCTGTTGAGTAGAAACTTGATCTTCATACTCCTCCCCCTCACTCTCTTCACCGTTCCGGTACATATTTAACTACATATCCAGCTCTATTCCAGGATCATCCGTAACATTAGTCATCAATTCATGAGTATGATTCACCTCAGTCTTGGATGGTAGACCATTTAAGCCTTTTAGAGCAACAAAAAGCTTAAGTTCATTGAGCAAAGTCACAGCTAATTCATCTGTCAACTTAAAATGAAGGTCCCGTCCTACACAAACTGTCACCCCATTGGAGCAACCTACACTTCCGGACGTGTTCTTTAAAGGCAGTGACCTTTCAACCCGTGAAACAATGGCCCTAGAAAAGTCCCTTTATTGAACCATACAATCCTCCTCACCACCACCACCATTTCTCAACACCTCACATGAAGAAGGGGTAGAAATAGAGCTCTGAGAATAAGAATCAGGAGTCAAACCTGGAAGAATAGAGGAAGGAGAGCGTGTTACCCACTTTTGTTTTTCATTACGAGTCCATCGAGTAGCCTGGCGACCAGCTGATGCAATCGGCGTTCTCAATTTTGCTTTCTTAGTCAAGGACCAATGAGGTGTAACTCGCTGTAACGAAGAAGAAAGTACTTGGGATTGGGCTTTAACCTAAACCTGGGCTTGTCCTTTAATGCCTGGCCCCAAATATGGACCTAGTTCATTTAAAAAAGAAACGGATAGTGAATTGGGTCCTCTTTGTACCCTTCTTTTGGTGTAGGTTGTTCGAGGCCCATAACTAGCCAAAGCACGTTTGGGCTTAGGCTTAATGAGCCCATTCTTCAGACCAGACCCATAATGACTTAAAACCTCGCCCTTAGCTTGGCCTGACACCCTCCGACCCAAATCAACCTTAGCCCAATCTGAATTACGACCCATCCCAATCTCTTCACCAACCCTTGAGGATTCAGAGGTGAACTCTTACGACCACCACGTGCATCTCTTTCCTTATCAGCTACAATGCGCTTGACCGGCGCGTGTCGGCTACTTGATCTTCCCCTCACAAATTTCATCGCCCTTTGTAGTTCTCTGTCTTTCAACTATTGTCAAATCTGTAACACCTCTTCCTCCCCTTTGCTAAGAAGCATATCCCATTCTTCCTCCGTCATAAGATGAGACCCGTCGCTGCCTTCAAGGCTCTCCATTGAAGGAACTAGTTCCGGCGAGACTTCTTCCCAAATCGCAACCTTGTAACAGAAGGTGTCATCATTAATAAACACGAACTGCGGACAAGCTGATCCAATTCTCATTGTGATTCGAATGCTTTCGGTATCCCTCGTCTCATCAGCAACAACTCCCACGAATCCGCCACACAATTCCCCCACTTCAACGAATAAAGCGTGACACCATAAATGAAGGAGAAGTCCGAACAACCGGATCTGTTTGAGACCTTTGCCTCTAGGAACACTACAACACCTAACACTGAAAGACCACACATCAATCCGCAAGGTTACAGATCCCCACTGTCGCCGACCTTCCTTCAACACTCGTTGAGCCTCTGCCTGAGAAGGAAACCTAAAGAAAAGCAGCGAATCGGATAAGGGAGTAACCCCCACCCCACAAGACGTGTTCCATGCCCGCACTGCCCATTCCTCCACCCGATCACATCCCCCAACTTCCTTGTCAAACCGACCGACCAAACAAGATGAGAGAACCATTTTCCTCCCTTCGACGGACCCCCCGTCAATGTACAGTGACGGTCCTCAGTGAGGAATTGCCGACTTCACATCTCCTCTAAGCGAGATTCTTGGAACTCCTCTAAGCGAGATTCTTGGAATCTTTGCAATCTCTAAGAAAGATTTCATCACAAACCTAATGAAACCACGATCGCCTCAAAATCACCCCTAGTAGGGTGAAATCGCCCCTAGTGACGTCATAATGATCATGATTATTAATTCTACTTGCTATTATTGAATCCAAAAGTGAATTAAGGGGGGAAGGGGAAGGGGAAATGGAAGGGAATTAAGGGGGAAAAAGTTACAAATACTATACTATACTAATATAATACAATGGAAGTGAATTAAGTGGAAGGTCCATTGTATTGTATTTGTATAGTATAGTATAGTATTTGTAACTTTTTCCCCCTTAATTCACTTCCATTTCCCCTTCCCCTTCCCCCCTTAATTCACTTTTGGAATTCAAGAAACTAGAACTACATTTAACCTTCCATGCATCGTACCTTAGGCTACACCCAAGATTCTACAAAATCTTCCCTCCCCTCCCAAGAAGCTTCTTTGTCAATATATATAAAGACCATTACAAACTTCATTCAAAATCTGCTTATTACTAAAATGGCGCTCTAGACCAACGAGCCAGTGGCCTAGCGGTATAAACTTCTTACCTCCCAAAGGGAGATCGGGGATTCAAGTCTCAGAAGAGACAAATGTGTGTGAGTACCAACTAGAAAATAAAATAAAATAAAATGGAGCCCTAGGCCCAAAATGTAGAGGCATAGAACTTACAGCTCTCCCCATGTCTAACTCAAAATTGTATATTCATCTTCTTATATCCATACAGAGTTAGAATTCTCCAAATCTCCCTCCAAGTCCATTACTTAGTTTAGACTTAGTACCTAAAAATGCAGAGATCAAATAGATATTGTCTTCCATTCTCTCTCTGCCTGCTTAGTGGGAAGGTTCTTGGTCAAGTTAGTCTATTTAGTATTAGTAAAGTATTTGTATTTTTTCCCCCTTAATTCACTTCCATGTTTTTCTCCCTTAAGTCACTTATGAAATTCAAGAAATTAGAACTGCATTTAACCTTCCATGCATACAGAAGAAAATTTGGATCCATGAGAAATCAACACCAAACTAAATGAAGTAGTAATCTTTTTACCAATTTTCAAAGAATGATGGTTTTAAGCAGAAAAGGACATAATGAAAATTTGATGAGCGAATCTATTGTAGTAGACTTGTAGTATGGGGAAAGAGATACAGTGAAGACAAATATGCAAATTAAAACTGTGTTTCTCAATTTGAAATTTCATATAACCACTAAAACTCATTATTGATGGTAAAAAAGTTATTTTCTTTTTTTTTTTGAAAAAAAAAAAAAAATAGATAGCATACCTTTTCTAAAAGATTGGCTGCTCGCACATTATTTCCCTCAGCTAATGCTTCGAAAGCCTGACAAAACAAAATAAGATAAAAGTGTCTAATCATGTAAGGGAGCCAAAACAGAGTTTTATGCAATTTCAAGACAAATAAAACTGGGATTGCCACATAATAATAAATATCATGGCATAACAAGTTCCAACCAACTCACAGCTTTATAATATTCCTTCATTGTAGCTCGATACTCTTTCACAGCTCTACGAAGGACCAGATAGCTATCGTCTCCATCTACATATATTCTAGCGGACTTTGTGAGATATCAGAGAGAGAGGAAAAGAAAACGTAAAAGCTAGACATGTATATACCATAAATTAGTAAATTTTAGGTATTGTCCATGTATTTCTATTTTTCCAAAGACCAGTAATAGAATCGATGAGAGCATAAATGCTGCTTTAGCTACCAGCATTTTACAACTAAAAATGTAAACTACAAGTAATTTATAAAGTCATTTCTTCATGAGAATGTGCCTGTGTCCTGTATTATTTTTTTCACCAAGATGAATCAAAAATATATTTGATGTGATTGAAACAATAATCCCACATATCTGAGCTTTAGCATTAGTCGAAGAAGGGTCTATAAACCATGTCATATGCAAGGGAATTATTTCTGGCTAGGAATCGACGAACTGTCCAACTTTGGATTAGTTCTTATAAATTATTTTGGAACAACTCTTTAGAAAATGACATAGGACTCGTTTGCCATGTCTGGCATGAGTTAAGAGCGTTATCCGAATATGTAACTGAGCATAATCTGAGTTTTGCTTCTGCCAGAACTGCTAAAGAAACAGTATTGTTCTTTTTTATACAAACAAGAAATCAAACAGCACCAGGAAAAGAAGAATATAAATCCTGATAAATCTGTTGTCAAGTTTGTTTCACCTTTTAGAAGCTCTTTATAAGGTACATTAACAAAAAGGAAAAGAAAAAAAAAAAGAAAGAAAGAGAGAAGGTATACCAAATATTTAGGATATGCAAAAAAGTACATACCATCCTCCTTGATGTCTTGATGTTGGTTCATAGCACCAGTCTCGTGTTCTGCGGCATTGTCTTTCAGAGGTTCAACCACTATTCGCCCAGATGCTCTAGATCTCTCAACCGAATTGAAGGCATCAGTTCTTCTAGGAGACTCCTCGTGTTTCTCAGAAGCAACAAAGAAAGCAGCTAAAATTTCCTTTTGGAGATCATGTCTTTCTCTTAATTCTCTTGGACCTCCATCAAGAGACTGTAAATTAATTCCAGTGAGAAGGAAAAACAATTACAATAAGCAATAATCTTATCGAAGCCTATATTTTCAAACAGATAAAAAATGAAATATAAAAAACACAGGTTTGAGTCTGATAGTGACCACCTTGTGCAAAATAATAGTAAAAGTTAAGTTTCACACAACCCTCCGATGACCCCGCCCCCACAGATACACAAAAACACACCACACGAGCAGAACAACACACCAGGTAATAGCCTCTCTTTTTTCAAAGAGAAAAACAACAGATAAACCTGAGAGGAACTTTTTATTATGCAGGGGAAGTAACAAATCAAACCATATTAATATGTACATTTTGTTCCGTTCCTAAAAGGTCATACCGAGTACACAAGGCTCCTGCACTAAGTGTTGTCAGGGCTTATTTGTTATTACTTATACAATGTTGGGTACTTATATGTAATTTCTGATACTTGTTAGTATAAATACAATGTGGTGGAAGGATGAAAGTATTCTTTCTCACTTTCCCATCTCTCTCTCTTATCCTCTTTCTTCTCTTTTTCTTCTTCTTATACTTACTCTTGATTTGATTCTCTCTTAAAGTCAACACTAAGCAGGGTCTAGGAGAGGTAGACGGTAGGCAGCCTTACCCCTATTTTTAGAGAGGCTTATTCCAGGACTAAAAACCACACTACTATTGGGTTGGAGGGGGGGGGGGGTTGTTTGAGGGATGAGCACTTGACAATCATGCCAGGTCCAACTTCTATTTTGTTCGATTCCTATCTAACATAATTATAATTCTTTGAAATATATATATTGTTGAAAAAGAGATATTTGGTTTTAATAAGACCATATTTTAGGGGATATGATAGGCGTGTAAATATAGATAGTCAATGACCAGATTTTAGGGGATATTTTAGTGTATAACCTATAGCTTCTATTAGTGCACAGCCTGTAGCTTCTGTTAGTATACAGCCTGTAATTACAGCCTGTAGTTTGCTGTCACAGCTTGTAGTCAGCTTGTAGTTTCCTTTTTTTAGCCCCTTGTATGTCCTATTTAACTAAAGCATTGTAAACCATTCAAAGGAAGGCAATATACAGATTTTCTTTCAATCTTGAAATCGCCTATTTGGTATCAGAGCATCTTACCGATTCTTCTGAAAAAAAAACCCCTAGCTGTTCCTTTTTTTTTCTCTTCCAAACAACTCTAATCACCATGTCTGATGACATACCTGAGTCCAAGACCAAGACCTTTGAGTCCCAAGTCCAAAACTCTCAGACACACTCGGTCCAGATTACCACAATTCGGCTAAATGGTGAAAACTTCCTTCGCTGGTCCCAGTCCGTGCGGATGTATATCCGAGGCAGAGGCAAAATCAGCTACCTAACAGGAGAAAAGAAGGAACCAAAACCTGAAGATCCATCCTACTCGACCTGGGATGCAGAGAATTCGATGGTGATGACCTGGTTGGTGAATTCTATGGAGGAGGACATCAGTTCTAATTATATGTGTTACCACACAGCAAAAGAACTTTGGGACAATGTCAACCAAATGTATTCAGACCTAGGAAATCAGTCTCAAGTCTATGAACTAACGCTGAAACTCGGAGAGATCCGTCAAGGAGATAACAGTGTTACAAAATATTTCAACTCTCTGAAACGTTTGTGGCAGGACCTTGATTTGTTCAGCGATTATGAGTGGAAATCGCCTGAAGATTGCAACCATTACAAAAAGAAGGTGGAAGACAACCGCATCTTCAAGTTTCTCATTGGACTCAATGTCGAGTTTGATGAAGTGAGAGGCAGAATAATTGGACGACAACCCTTGCCTTTAATCGGTGAAGTCTTCTCCGAGGTTCGAAGAGAGGAAAGTCGCAGGCTGGTCATGCTTGGAAAAAAGTTATCAAATGGTGCTGTTGAGACCTCTGCCTTGGTCGCATCTGAAGCGAATATTGGCAGGAAACATAATGAAAAGCCCCGTCTTTGGTGTGACCACTGCAACAAGCCTCACCATACCCGTGAAACCTGCTGGAAAATTCATGGTAAACCAGCGAATTGGAAGAGTAAGCAGGAAGGCAGATTCAACCAGGAAGGCAGATTCAACCGAGCCCCATCAGCTCATGAAGCCGAGGCACTTCCCTTCAGCAAAGAACAGATGGATCATCTTCTAAAATTGCTGAAATTCAATTCCTCATCTGGTACTCCTAATGTTTCTCTTGCTCAAACAGGTAACAACCCGAAGGCCTTATCTTGTCGTTCAAATTCCAGTGTTACCCCATGGATCATTGATTCAGGGGCTTCTGACCATATGACAAGTTGTTCTCATTTATTTCAAACTTATTCACCCTGTTCTGGCTCTGAAAAAAAAATCAGAATAGCTGATGGTTCTTATTCTCCTATTGCAGGCAAAGGTTTAGTGAAACTTTCAAAAATTATTGATCTTAAGTCTGTCCTTCATGTCCCTAAGCTTGCTTGTAACCTTTTATCAGTTAGTAAATTGTCCAAAGACTCTAATTGTCGTGTTATCTTTTTTGAATCCTATTGTGAATTTCAGGACCAGAGCTTGGGGAAGACGATTGGCAGTGCTAAGATGATAGATGGTCTCTACTATTTTGAAGATGATATTTCAAGTAATAAAAAGGCTCAAGGTTTGAGTAGTTTTCGTTCTATCCCTGTTAGAGAACAAATAATGCTATGGCATTTTAGACTAGGGCATCCTAGTTTCCCTTATCTTAAAAAATTATTTCCTTCTTTGTTTAAAGGATTGGATTGTTCATCTTTTTATTGTGAGAATTGTTTTTTATCAAAGAGTCATCGTACTACGTATTCTCCTAAACCTTACCAAACATCAAAACCATTTTATTTAATCCATAGCGATGTTTGGGGCCCTTCTAGGATCACAACTCTTTCTGGAAAAAAATGGTTTGTGACTTTTATTGATGATCATACACGTTTGTGTTGGGTGTATTTAATGAATGAAAAATCTGAAGTTGAAAAATTATTCAAGGATTTTTATATGATGATTGAAAATCAATTTCAAACAAAAATTGGCATTCTTCATACTGATAATGGCACCGAATACTTTAATGAAGTTTTAGGAAGTTTTTTAACAGAAAAAGGAATTTTTCACCAATCCACTTGTGTTGACACACCCCAACAAAACGGAATTGCTGAAAGAAAGAATAAACATTTACTTGAAGTTTCTCGTGCCATCATGTTTTCAATGAATGTTCCTAAGTATTTGTGGGGTGAAGCCGTTTTAACAGCAACATATTTGATTAACAGGATGCCTACTCGTGTTCTTAACTATTTTACACCCCTTGAAAGCCTTAAAAAATCTTTTCCTGAAACTCGGATTTATTCGAACCTGCCTTTGAAAGTATTTGGGTGCACTGTCTTTGTCCATTTACCTAGTAGACTTCGATCTAAATTGGATCCTCGGGCTGAAAAATGTGTATTTGTTGGGTATGCCCCGAATAAAAAGGGGTACAAATGCTTCAATCCGACAACAAAAAAAATGTTTATCAGTATGGATGTTTTTTTTCTAGAAAATCATCCTTATTTTCAGAAAACTTTTCTTCAGGGGGAGAAAGAGAGTGAAGAAAATTTTTGGGAGATTTCTACTAATATTCCCTTACCTAAAACTATTGTCTCACACTCTACTCCAAACACTGATCTTTTTAAACAAGAAAATGATGTTCTAGAATCAGGAAACCCGGGGCCTCCTAGTCCTAATCTGCCGAGCCTTACTGTATCTCCAACAGGGGGAGAAATCCTACCAACGGTTCCAAAAAAACCGAATCCTGAGCTTCTGGTTTATAACAGAAAAAAGACTCATCAAAAGAGTAGAGAGCCTACTATTGTACCTGAGCAAGGCCAATCAGAGGTCCCGAGCAATGACTCCCTGAACACTCAAGGTACTCTAAATCCTAACTTGTCTACAGTTGTCCCTACTATTTCTAATCGTACAGAGACACCTAGCCAAGTTCCTGTAGACCTTGATATCCCTATAGCTGTTAGAAAAGGAATCCGAACCTGTACCCAGCATCCCATTGCCAAATACTTGTCTTATGATAAACTTTCCCATAAACATAGGGCCTTTACTTCAAATATTTCTCACTTGTTTGTTCCAAGAAACATTCAGGAAGCACTAGATGATCCGAATTGGAAATCAGCAGTGTTAGAGGAGATGAATGCTCTTAAAAGGAGTGGAACGTGGGAAATAGTTGACTTACCCAAAGGAAAGAAAACTGTTGGGTGTAAATGGGTTTTCACTATTAAGTGTAAAGCTGATGGTAGTGTGGAAAGGTACAAGGCAAGACTTGTGGCGAAAGGTTTTACGCAAACGTACGGCATTGATTACCAAGAGACGTTTGCTCCTGTAGCAAAAATAAATTCTATCCGAGTCTTATTGTCGTTGGCAGTCAATTCTAATTGGCCATTACATCAATTGGACATAAAAAATGCCTTTTTAAATGGAGACATGGAAGAAGAAGTGTTTATGAGCTTGCCACCTGGGTTCGAAGGAAAACACAGTCAGAGCAAAGTCTGTAAACTCAAAAAATCCCTGTACGGTTTGAAACAGTCTCCAAGAGCGTGGTTTGAACGTTTTGGAAAGGCTGTGAAGAGTCATGGGTATCATCAGAGTCAGGCAGACCATACCATGTTCTACAAACACGGTGAGGAAGGGAAAATTGCCATTTTAATTGTGTATGTGGATGATATAATTTTGACAGGTGATGACATTGAAGAGTTGACCAGACTGAAGAAGAAACTTGCTAAAGATTTTGAAGTCAAAGATCTGGGAGCATTAAAATACTTCCTTGGAATGGAATTTGCCAAGTCAAGAGAAGGAATTTTCGTGAATCAACGAAAATATGTACTTGATTTGCTTAATGAGACAGGACTACTCGGGTGTAAAGCTGCTGACACTCCAATTGAAGTCAACCTGAAGTTAGAAGCTGCCGAACCCGAGAATATGGTTGATCGTGAAAGATATCAGAGATTGGTGGGAAGACTAATTTACTTATCTCACACACGCCCAGATATAGCATTTGCAGTCAGTATGGTGAGTCAGTTCATGCACTCTCCTGGACAGGAACACTTTGAAGCAGTGTACAGGATTCTGAGGTACTTAAAGGGCTCACCAGGTAAAGGACTTATGTTCAAGAAACAAGGTCATTTACAAGTGGAGGTGTACACAGATGCTGATTGGGCAGGCAGTATAGTTGATAGACGATCTACCTCAGGATATTGCACCTTCGTTGGAGGAAACTTAGTCACGTGGCGAAGCAAGAAACAAAATGTAGTAGCGAGGAGTAGTGCAGAAGCCGAGTTCAGAGCACTCGCCCATGGGATTTGCGAAGCTATATGGTTAAAAAGACTCCTTGAAGATTTGAAGGTTATTGTTTCTCCTCCAATGAGAGTCTACTGTGACAACAAAGCTGCCATTTCAATTGCTCATAATCCAGTCCTCCACGACAGAACCAAACATGTGGAAGTTGACAAACACTTTATCAAGGAAAAGCTTGACTGTGGTATGATTTGCATTCCTTATGTCTCTACTACTGAACAAGCTGCAGACATCCTTACCAAAGGACTACACAAGAAACAGTTTGAAGTTTTAAGAAGCAAGCTAGCTATGGAAGACATCTACAAGCCAGCTTGAGGGGGAGTGTTGAAAAAGAGATATTTGGTTTTAATAAGACCATATTTTAGGGGATATGATAGGCGTGTAAATATAGATAGTCAATGACCAGATTTTAGGGGATATTTTAGTGTATAACCTATAGCTTCTATTAGTGCACAGCCTGTAGCTTCTGTTAGTATACAGCCTGTAATTACAGCCTGTAGTTTGCTGTCACAGCTTGTAGTCAGCTTGTAGTTTCCTTTTTTTAGCCCCTTGTATGTCCTATTTAACTAAAGCATTGTAAACCATTCAAAGGAAGGCAATATACAGATTTTCTTTCAATCTTGAAATCGCCTATTTATATATATATCAAAATTATATGTGTTAAATGATTGATGACATTATTCCTTCAACACTTCATAGCTTAAAGATATAATGCACAAGCCATGTCATCAAGGGAAAATATTCACAAACGTTACTTATTGAAATCATTTTTTCAGAATAAGGAAAAAGAAATCCAAACATCTTATGAAAATAAAGTACAATCTATATCAACTGCACATAAAGATATGGAAAAAGAACAAAAGTTGAAAACATAAACTGTACAAGAGACTGGGAAATTTTGGCATAAAAACATCTTTTAATACCCTCAAAATATAATTCTAAACAATTCAGGACTGAGTACCCTGGAACCACCATGAGAATTCATTCTTCCCATGGTATTGTCATTCCTCTCCTTCAAGTTACCAGAAAATTACGAATGGTCACATGAAGCACTAAATGCAATCTGATTTTTTCTTAGCTTTGATCTTCCAACAGGGAAAGAGATTAACAACCTTCTTTAGCATTACTCAATCCACATTTAGTATAGCTAGGGATTACCAGAGAAATGGAACTGAAAGTGATTAATTCTTTTTCCCTGAATAACTGAAAGGGATTAATCACTTTGCAATTTTCTTTATACATACTGCAGTGACACATCAGTTAGGGATTTTACCATTTTGTTGATACAATCAAAAAGTTGTTTGGAGTCCATGGGCAGGCAAAAAGGGGTAGATTAGATGAGACCTTCCTTAATCCTCCCCAATAACTGACAATATTAAAGATTTGTGCAAGAAATTTGATCTAATCCAAACTCTAAAGCTCCCATTTGGCTCATGGCTTTCCATAATATGTGCAAAAACATTCCAAATGTAACTTCAAGTACTCCATTACCTTACCTTGAAGGCAGCACTGGTCTTGCGAATTGTTAAAAGAGGGTGCCGAATGGGTTGAACCGGTCAAATCTAACCTATGATATTATTTGCACAAAATGACTGCAGTAAAACTTGAACTTACATTCTCATACTTGGTAGCTTAAACTTTTAGCATTGGACCAAGAAATGGCTCCTCACAACCACTGCACTCAAGCTCGCCTAATCTTGAAGGCCCATTCTACAAAATATGATTATAAGTTATACACAAAAAGTCTCTTGCTACCACTTCCTATTCCGAGCATAGCATAATATCTTTGGGAGTTGGGATTAGTTACATATATATAGGTAGACTTGAGAAAGACCTGTTGATCAATGGAAGGTTGGTGGCAAATGGCTGAAACTACTTGTGCATTTTTTAAGTCTTTTAGCGCTCATACTTTATCCTTCCTTTCTAACTTCTTTATCATAATCACAAAAACTATTTGTTAGTTATGAAAATATGAAAGGAAAAAGAATAAAGATCCAAGACTTTATTCCTTCCATGTGTGAAGAAACCAAGTTCTTCTGTTTCTGGGTATATGTAGCTGAACCACAATTACAATTACTTTGTAAATTTCAGCGTGAAGATGTACATAATGCCCATATATGTTAGAATGTCTATAGGGATGCGCATATGCATTTATTAAAGTTCCTCTACAATAAAAAGTTGCCGGAAATTTTAAGCAAGTGTACCACTTTAAAAGATGTAAAATATAATACAGCCAAACAAATCCTTTATTTGTCCAATCAAAGATTTATCAAGTAGAAATTCATTTCTAAGTCGACAGAGATTAAGTCTATTTTTTCTTGCTCTTCACATATGTAAAAGAAGATGATGTCCATCTTTAGAACATGAAAGATCTATCTGAGACAATTTACTACATAAATAATTGAAGGCAATAAGTATGTAGAAAAACATTGCACCTGCATGCTAGATAAATTATTAAAGTCCCTCTTTATCAATTATAGCCATATGATTGAAGTAATAAAAGGAAAGAAAATATCAAAGACAAACTGATGAGTGGTGTGACAAGAAAGGAAATTTCTAAAAGAATGAACTTATGCAAGGTCAGAGGCAGATCCAATTGAGACAGGATAAAATATAAGTTTCGGTTTTATTAATCATTCAGAACAAAGATGCAGCAGTGCCAACTGACATGACCCAAGCTGAAGGTGTTGTAAGGACAGGAGGAAAGAAAAAAATGACATGGTCAATACTAGTTTTCTTAGAGCAAAACAGAACTGCAGATTGTTGGAATTGATTATAATGCGTGTGTGCTTGTTTATGTCACAAATATAGTGTTTTTTTATTCATAAAAGAGCATAAACAAAACAGGCCAGTGGCCTAGCGGTAGTAGGCCCCTACTTCCCAAAGGGAGGTCAGGGGTTCAAGTCTCAGTGGAGGCATGTGTTTGTGAGTACCAACTAAGAAAAAAAAAAGGAGCATAAACAATCTCAGCAGCTACTTCATTCTTCAAATTTTGGCCAGCATACTAACCTTTTCAATGGATTCGTCAGGAAAAATGTTCCTTTTCTCCGAAGTTGCGGCTGACAGATCACCTAGTTTCTCCGTACTCTGATGGGTCAGAAAGGAAAAACAATATTATACCCCCAGATTAGTTGAACTTCCAAACAAATTTGCTAAGAATATTTAGGTGAGAAAATGGTAGAATAAAGAAAACTGGATAAACTAGGCTGCTCACTCTTCAAAAAACGAAGTTATATACACCAGCTACAGAAAGAGAAAAGTATGTTTACACTTTTCTCAATTGATATTAATCATGTGTCAGCACAAATGAAATAAAAAAGTTTTGTAGATAGCCTTGGAAGAAATTATCCAAATCCTTGACTTGAAGTACATTAGTACAATGTCTTGGTTGGGGTGGGGGGGAGGAAATACAAGAAATAAGAATATTAGTGTCTCTGGGGGAATATAAATTAATCAAACGAGCTCTAAAGATGTTGAGACAAGTCGAACCCTCCCCACCCATCTTAACACACTAAAAATTATAAATTTCTAATAATTAGATAAAAGAAGCTCTTAATTTGATATTGTTCCACCCCTTTATTTATGCATTATCGAGAAGATCAAAACAAATAGAAAGGGCCTAAATGGATCATCTCTTTACTGGAGTTAACCAATCATAAAGAAATGATTTCCCTTTTCTTTTACATTGGATCCCTTCACCATTTTCCCTTTTTATCCAGCCAGGTTCCCATTCTGATGACAGAGTCTCTTTCTTCCTTTTTATGAATACATCTGCTCCTTTTTTCACTTTAAACTATATAGTAGGTCTCCCATATTTTAGAACCACTCATTGTCTTAATCAACAAAACCTAAATATCTACTAAAAGAAGCTTTGGAAGATCTCCAGTTTCCCTTTTAAATCTTTTCAAGTTGTAATATTATTTATCGTGGTGAGAGCCGCCATAGAGTGCTCCTACAAGACCGGGGATTCTATCTGAATTCTAAACTGGAAGTAGAATGAATAAAGACTAACGCTCCCTATTCAGAAGAGTAGGTTTTGGGCCCATAGTTTTGCACAAGGTTAAGGCCTTTGGTTTCTGTTGGTTTCCACGGTCACCTTTCAATCTTTGCAGTTGAGTGGTCTATAGGGCACGTCCTTTAAAACACAAACATCAATAATGAGAACTAAGGTCAAATTTTATCCTTATCTTAGAATTGTATAGATAATCAACGGTAAAAATTGTGTGTTAGCAACCAACTACTCAAAAAGCTTAAGTTGTTAGAGAGGGTGCAACTTAAATATATAAATCCTTCAACACGCCCCCTCAAGTGTGGCCTTTTTTTGGTCCAACACATGTTTTTTCAATTTTTAATTAGGGTAACGATGAGGTTTGAACTCAAGACATTTGGCTCTGATACCATGTTAACAACCATCCACTCCAAAAGCTTAAGTTGTTGGAGAGGGTGTAACTTAAATATATAAATCCTTCAACAATGTGAAACCTCCAAAGTGGGTGAACTTCATCTACTAATACTATATTTGACATTTGTCCTTGACACAAGCACAGCACTTGACATAAGAACTTGAACATCTATCAATATGAAAATTCAAAAACAAAACAAATTATCTTGACATAAGAACTTGAACATCTATCAAAATGAAAAATAAAAATAAAACAAATTAAGTGATAAGTACAGAGAGTACTATGCAAACCTTTTTCATATCATATCCACAAGAACCTGCATATTCAATTCATAAACTGATTAGTAACCACACATAAATAATCAATACTAACAAATTACTTGACTAGTAACCACCAACATAACCATAATTCATCTCTAGCAAGCAATATTGTGATTGATCAAATGAGTACTAGAATAATGTCCACATGACAACTGAAACCAAAGACTAGTAATTCTACAGGTTGAAAAGAAAACTCGATTGTAGCCAGCCAAAGGATTAAAAATCAAGTACATCCACAGGATGATGTATCTGATGTATGATATGAATAAGTAGCAAGGATGATGCTAGTTCTCTATTAATGAATAAGTAAGAGTGATAATATTGGTCCTCTGTTAAAACATAATTTGACCAAAATATTTTGAGATAGTACAACAATGTATTCATGAATTTTGCCACAAGAGATAAAGAAACATTGTATACTTCCTCGCGTTATACAAGTAACATAGATTATTTAAAAAACAATATATTGCTAATTATGATTTACTAGGAGATATGATGGGAAGGCTTCTCATATAGAAGTCTAAAATGGTACTAGTTTCCACTATACAAAAAAAGGTTAAGTCACCAAGGGTGTAACCCAAGTGGTATCTCCTCCTCCTTCGAAATGGAAGGTTGAGGGTCAGAGTCCCGAATGCGACAATTATGGTTATGTGTGTGTGATTTACCTACCAAAAAGTAAAAAGGTTAAGTTATGGTGTGGGTCCTTAGGACTTGTAAATGCTTCAAGTGCCCTGCACTCCCAAATTGATCAGCTGAAAGATTTATAAGAATACCAAAACCAATAATTGTGTAACTATTGGGGAAAATAATAATTATAAAAAAAAAACTGCAATGAAGGTCAATCTTCGCATTCATATTGCCTGCTCCAGTAAACAGTTGCAACAATATCAAAGGCCATTAGATGCAAATTTCTTCACGCTGTTTAACTCTTAAATGTAAAAGAGAGCATTTATAGGCTTTTAAACTCTAAATATACTGAATAGTGAGTAGTTCACGGGATTAAGAACAAATCAATAATGGAGAAAAGGGGAGAAGAAAAGTAAAACACAAGATTTTATATGTTAGTTATGCCACAAGCCCGTAAATTTGATTTATGCATGGGGTTCACCTCAATCATGAAGCCAACATCAAGCATGGGTGATGCCTCAGGCACAAAGAGATTTTAGCCTCTAAGGATGAACCTCATTATGTACTCAGGCGTGGTTCTAAGTGTAAACCTCAAACGCCTAGCAAAATTAAGACTATAACTTATAAACAGATGACTTAGATCAATTATCAAATCTTAAGAAAACTAAGTACTTTTTTTTTTTTCCCCCTAATTTGACAAATTTTCATTAATAGAGAAAAACCAAAGTTACAGGATAAAAAAGCAGGGGCATACCCCCCACTAATACAGCAATGGAAAATTCCTACAATTCATTTAGAATCTGTAGAAAACAGAGCAATGTCCTCCAAAGAGACATCACAAGCCAACAAAGCATCCCAAAAAATGGCCATGGCTGCTGATTGGGGATGAATTCTATTACCTCTACGAAGGGCTGCATTTCTATCCCACCAAATCTACCATAAGGAGGTAGAAAACTAAGTACTTTCCCATAAAGTTACCTGAAATTACAAATTTCCTGTCAGTGTGTCCATGAGTCATTTTCCTAGACCAGCTACTTTTTTTCAGTAAATTTTGACACGGAAAAAAAAAAATTTATTCAAGCACACAATAGTCTGTTTAGGTGAGACCTAGATGTGAGTCCTTCCCGAGTGATTTACACAAAGGCAAATGACGATGAGACAACTTCCATTATTCACTTCCACATATCATCCATTTAAAAATTTAAACTGTTAGAGAGAGTATAATTTTATTTATTTGTATCCTCTAACACGCCCCTTCACATGTGGCCAAACTTTTAATCATCACTGAGCCACCATAGGCATCAACAACAACTATTACAGTCGCAGAGAGATCCAAATGCATGGCCTTACCCACTCTAATTCCAAGATAATTGCTCCAAAAAGTTTAAGCTTTCGAGGAATGATCCCAACAATGTAAATCAAACAGAAAGACTTGAACATAAAACCTCCAATAATCAAGGAGTTAGTAATATGTTAGAGAATCAATTACCAAAAGCTTAAGCTAATAGGGACCAAGTAATTTATTTAATAAAACAAAAATGAGCTTGCACTAAGGGTCTACTTTAAGTCCATATTTATTCACATTAATTAAAAATGAGATCACAAAAGTTTTACAAGAAAACATTCCTTGGTGCATGTTGTTTGCCGATGACATAGTACTACTGGACACTTCTAAAGAAAACTTAGCAATTAAATTAGAAAGGTAGAGAAACGCGTTAGAATCAAAAGGCTTAAGGGTAAGTGGAACCAGAATTGAATATATGGAATGCAAATTTAGTGAAGAATTGAATATTAATGAGGTAATCTGGTAATGATTACACCTCAAATCAAGAAGTATCCCAAGTGCACACTTTTGGTAGTTAGGGTCATTAATACAAAAGGATGGTGAGATCGATGGTGATATAACTAGTAGAAATTGTGAAGGATAGACAAAATGGAGGCAAGTTAGTGGCATTTTGTGTGATAAACGAATGCCATATAGACTAAAAGGAAAATTTTATAGAACAGTTATTAGGCCAACTATCTTATATGGTGCAAAGTGTTGGGCTATAAAAAAGAAGAAAGAACAACGAATTCATGTAGCAGAAATGAGGATCTTAAGATGGATGGTAAGGTCACTAGAAGAGATAGGTTACAAACCAAAATGTGAGGGAGAAATTAGGTGTGGCACCTATTAGTAATGAGATTAGAGAGAGTAGACTTAGGTGCTATAGACATGAAGACCTATGGATGCACCGGTGAGAAGAAGAAAGTTAATTTGCATAAAGGGTAGGACGCGGAGAGGGCGCCTGAAATTAACATGGATGAAATCATTACAAATGGTTTTAAAAGTTAAATATAAGAGGAGAGAACTTGTAATAGAATAGAATGGAAAAAGAGAATTCATGTTGCTAACCCCATTCATATGGGATTAAGGAAAGGGTGATGATGATGAATAAAACAAAATGAAACGAATTGATCAATAATGTTATTCTACTGAGCAGTATCTATGCATTTCCCATCAAGTTAACTAATAAATTACAGAAATATGATACGAAGTGCTTAATTAGGTGCTATGGACACGAAGACCTATGGATGCACCGGTGAGAAGAGGAAGGTTAATTAGCATAGAGGGTAGGACGCGGAGAGGGCGCCCGAAATTAATATGGGATGAAATCATTATAAATGGTTTTAAAAAGTTAAATATAAGAGGAGAGACAGCTTGTAATAGAATAGAATGGAAAAAGATAATTCATGTGGCTGACCCCATTCATATGGGATTAAGGAAAAGGTGATGATGATGAATAAAACAAAATGAAACGAATTGATCAATAATGTTATTCTACTGAGCAGTATCTATGCATTTCCCATCAAGTAAACTAATAAATTATAGAAATATGATACGAACTGCTTAATTTGAACATTACTGTAAAATGTCAAAGAAATAGTCAAACAAATATGTATTGCTGATATACTTTGCTTAAAACATGAACACAAGATAACAGCAGTGTATCCTGATATTCACTAATCATCTTTATGATGGTACACTGTATAAAATGCAGCATCAGATCTAGGTAATACACCCGGGTACAACTCAATAAAATTCATTAAGCGATTATTATAAAAAGAGAATCAAAATTGAAAAAGAAAAGAAACCTCCTTGAAGTTATCTGGAGTTCGAGATTGGTAAGCATGCGCTCCCACTTACCCTTTGACTTGACAAATCTATTTTTGTAGTCTTTTTGCCAAAAAATGATTATGTTTCGTAAAATGTACTAGTAGGAGCTATAGCGGCATTTAATGAATTCTACATGATCTTCTCGAAGGTGTATTATTCGAACTAAGTACTTACAAGGATATATTGGCATTTCTTGATTCCATGGTCTCCTCCAATGACGTAAAATATGGTTTTTTTTTTCCTTAGTTGGTACTCACACACGCATGCCTCCACTGAGGCTTATGGAAAATATAGTTTTCCTAACTGATCCCACACGCGTCCGATAATCTAAGCCCTGGGAACCTTCAAAGGAGGCTAATTGTTGACTTAAACTGATGACCTAATCTGACAGCCAACTGCTTGTGTTGTTATGCTGGCGGGACTTTTTGTTGGAATACACAAGTCTATTCTCATGTACCACTCCAAAAGCTAAGAGCTGAAGCTCTAGGAAGCCACCAATCTTGCTTCCAGGAAGTTGATAATATCATGAAGATATGGTGCTAATCCTATATAGTTGTCAGAATATCACAATGAGGCTCCTTTGCTGTCTAGAGACATTGCTACAAATAATTACGAGATTCTGGGGTGAATTTTTTTAATCAAATTCTCTCCATTACACGCGCTGGAATAGAATTAAATGGTTGGCCAAGTTCCATCTGTGTTCCAAGTTAATTTTATAAGTTGCTACAGTTACATCTTACATGGATAGTCTGAATTCTTAAAGATGATTTATTAATTGTTCCTTTTGGCAATGTTATTTCTTTTCTTTTCTTTTCTTTTCTTTTCTTTTCTTTTTTTTTTTTTTTTTGCTTCTCATCCAAATTTGAACTCATCACTTTTCACAAATTTACATGCTGTGAGAAACTAAACAATTTACCTAAACTCAATATTCAGCATGACATTATCTCAAAACTCAAATGAAATGAGACGAAAGAGAAAATAAATTGCATTAATGAATAATATGGCGAAAAACTTCAAGAATGTTGAGAATGGTTTACCAATAATGTCCTGCATTGTATCCCTGTCAAGCTGAAATCCATCTCCAAGCATCTTAAACAGAAAATCCTCAATTTCATTGTCCATTAAATTCTCCCTCCCCAAATTTATGGAAGAATGTTCTCCCTCAAGTTCGGACCTTAGTAAATCCTTTGAGTCTACTTTCAAAGGTTTTGTTGTCATACAAGCTCCATGTGTCAAGGATGTGGAGCATAAATAATTTTTATCTAGAACACATGAAATGGTACCGGCTGAAGCAGGACGGCTTTTTGATTTTGATTCTTTTGAGTTTCCATCTACACAGGAGAACTTATCAAAAGTAGTATTATAGGATAAATCTAAAGATTTTTCACTCTGCATTTCGTCGTTAGATTCACGAATACAGGATGATTTTGAAGATCTTTCACTGTGTATTTCACCATTTGATGCATGGATGGGCAATGATTCTGAAGATCTCTCACTCTGTACATCAGATTCACGAATGTGGAATGATTCTGAAGATTTTTCACTCACCGCTTCACCATTGGAGGTGGAGTTGCTCTCTTGTAAGTTAAAAAGCATTGAACCAGCCAAGTTAGCATTCCGGCCTGCCTTGCAATATACTGAAGCAATATCTTCTAGTGAAAATACAGAACCAAACGCATCAAGCAAGCACTCCAAGGCCCTTTCCTCATCATCATTTCGTAATATACTTGAACCAGATGCTTCCATTTGAAATTCTTCACAGCACAAAATACAGACAAATCACTTGTGGAAGAGAGGTTATGACATACTTGTACATTTTTCCTTCACAAATACTATAATAGAGATTATTATTATTGGAAAATGTCAACTTAATTGCATGACTCTAAGAAGGCAGAAAAATAAGAATACTTTGCAACGTAATCCACATTCAAACAAGTATGGTCTGCACTCAGAAGAATATTATACTAACTTTGGTATGTGATGAGAACAAAAATACCATCAAAACATACAAAACAACTGTAATATTGAAACAAACTAACCAAAAATGACTCGGTGTATACTCGTCGTTTAAAATAAAAAAATAAAAAATTAGGCAACAAAGTAATCTAAAAACAAAGGTCATCTAAGCCAATGGTATGATCTGTCCTCCCCAAAGGGGAAGGTTGAGAATTCGAGTCCCACTAGGGACATAATGTGGATAATGGGTGTGTGTGTTTGCTTTAATTTTCACTAGCAGTAGAGCGTTTTAATAATCCAGTACAGTTGGCAACTTATTTTTCATAGGACTAAAGTAATGTTATCTGAAGTATGATGAAAATTTAACATTCATACACTTTTTTCGTAAAAAAAAAAAAATTCATACACTTTGTGGGTTCAAGAGGGGTTATGGCTCCATTGGCTATATGCCAGTTCCAATCCTTTAAATAGATATTCAATCGCGATAAAGATTACTAAAAGGAATACATACCAAACAGAACAATAAGCTATAATAAGTATTGTATAGCAATAATTTTCATTAATATCTTTCTTAATAAGGTTTGAGCTTCTACACTTTATCATCAACCATGTTCTTCTTCAATATAATTGAATTCAAAAAAGAAAATTAAAAAAATAGACCAATGTTCATACTAAAAAATTGGAAACACAAATCAGATAAATATTATTTCATAATAAAAAATAAAAGGTGTTCCTGATTGAATGTCCATGATCGATGATTGTTTTCAAACATCATTGTAGTTTAATTCAAACAATTAAGAATACAATGACAAAAATACAAGAAATGATTGAGCAATTGGAATCAAACGGAAGCTTACTTGCAGTGAGGGTTTTGGAAACCGAGTCTTGGAGCAACCAAACAGAGCTCCCTCCTTGCTCTCTCTCTCTCTCCCCCTCTCTTTCTCTCTCTACACACACATATATATATATATGAGGAGAGAGAATTTTGAGGACGATTGCGAAAACTATTATTAAATGATTGAAAAGGAAAGAGAGAGGGTTTAGAGCTCACATGGCATTTTTTTGTGAGTAAGCGATGACGAGTCATAATAGATTCTCTCTCCTTCCGGAACACGTCTTGGGTCTTCTCCATTTTTTGAAGTGGTGGTGTTCGTCGTATGCTCGTCTCGGTAAATTTTGCCGCGTGAATAAAGGGCAGTTTGGTTAATTGCAAGCAAAAAGGGTTAACGGCACAAGACCCCACTAGTCAGTTGGTCAATTTTTTACTCATTTGGTCGTTCCTTCGCAACTAAGAATTTAGACCTAGAGACAGGGTAGGGAGATAAGTCACATCGGATGGAGTAGGGGGCAAGCTGAGTCACTTAGGGTTTTTTCATAACACTACATTACACAACACTTCCCAAGCAGACCCTTAATCCTTTTAGGTAAAAGTGTTCTATTGTACTTCCCGTGCGCTGATGCTTCCTTTTAAACACTCTCTTACTAACAATTTTATTATTTGTGATCTTTGATTTTGGGCTTATGCACTTTTCTTTATGTAAAAGTGAACATAGATTCAGTAATTCAGATGAATTTATAACTCTGTGTATCAAATATTGCTACAATAGTGAAAGAAAACAGAAACAAGCGTCGAATCATTTGTATGAAGCTAGTTGGTTCCGTAGTTTGAGAATGATGCTGACCCAACGGACTCTCCATCCTTTCCAAGGAGAGCAAAAAGGAAGAAGCCGTGGGCGAAAGCTTTCTCATTTGCTCCCACTTCAATTCTCCCTCTCCCTCATACTCTGTGTGATTTATGGAGGAAGGGTGGAGTATCAAAGTAAAGTAATAAAATACAAGTCACACAGGGTGGGAGTTAGGAAGTACGGATACTTCACAAAGTCAAAGAAGCTGTTAGAAAGAGCCGCACAAATAACCAAAGGTCTATTTTCTTTAACTTTAGAGGTTAGACCTTCCATTGGTCGGCCGACTAGTGGTAAGAGCATCCATTGGTCGGTCGGCTAATGGTAAAAGTGGCACGCGTAGCTGGCATGGCCCATTGAGATTAGGGCTCAAATCAAATGAAAAATAGTAATGTACTCATATCGGATACATGTTCGATACTTCTTAAACATATTCATAATTTTTAAATATATATATATATATATATATATATATTTTTTATAACACATATCCGATACTCTCAAATACTTCTTAAGCATTTCAACTGCATATCCGACACACAATTTTAATAAGTTTAAACATTAAAATGTAACTTTTTCACAATAATAACATATTATAATTGTTAAAAAAAAAAAATCAAAAATTATTAAATGATGATTAGGGATACTTGTTTTATGTGTTGTGAAATAAATGATTGCATTTAGATTCATAGTATTTTTTAAAAATTAATTAAAATTAATTTTTATATATATATATAAATAAAATTTATTAATTTTTTATTATCGTATCTTGCCGTACTCGCCTCCTGTATTTTTTTTAGATTTGCAATATTGTTCTACCCATATCGTGTTGTATCTGTAACTTTGCTTCCTAAGGTGGGAGTAAAAGTTGGTGCAAGCAAACAAATTGTATGATTTAGGACAGAGACAATAAACGCGATTAATATAATATAAATTTATATATATATATATTAAGTAAGATAATTATAAACTTTATTTAATTTATACCACGGAATTTTGGTATTGAAGTTATATATAAAATAAAATATGAAGCTATTTGAATATAGAAAATATATATACACATTATACTATATATAATATTACTCATATATTGCTATTATAGTTATTCGTTCATTATATTGTGTGACATGTGCGGATTTTTTTATTTTTTTATTTTTTATTTTTTTTTTTTTTAATTTTTGGTCCACGATACTAAAAGGTAAATTAACCGTCTGGATTTATAGTTCAGAGACCTTTATCCACTCCGGTACACCTTGTAAATTGACAGTATTTTAAATTCATGATATCAATTTAACAAAAGTTATTTTATAAATTGTGAAATATGGTAAAAGACAATTTGACCCCTTGTGTTTTGCTAAAAATATGCATAATTATCACTTCCTATCATATGCCCATAATTGAGTGTTGATGGAGTGAATTGACAATTATATTATCGAATTTTTACTTATATTAGATATTGCCAATTTATTATCATGGCCGACAAAAAAAAAATCTGAGTGTTGTTCGTTTCACTTAAACAAATTAACATTAACAATCCCTAATTACTTGAGAAATTCTAATGATATGGAGAGACTAATCCTAACTCGTAAGAGACGACCATAATTATTTTGACAGGGGAATCTAAACTCTCAAATAAACGAATAGATTCAAAATCCAAGTACAAATGAACTATTCAAAAAAAAGCGTTATATTAAAGGTAATGACATTCGATTAAATACTTATTTGGAGGTATCTTATTGATTATTTTGCACCGTAGCTCCTTAAAAATGAATACTCTTATGCAAAAATTTATATAAAAGAGGAATTTCATGCAATTAATTTTAAGGACAATTAGGAATTTTTGAAAAGTACCAATGCTTTAAACCATTAGTTATTTATCAACAACTTTTTATTTTATTTTATTTTATTTTTTATCCTTAGCAATAAATTTTTTTTCTTAATTGATACTCACACACATATGTCTTCATTGAAGCTTGAACACCTAACCTCTTTTTGGAAAGTAAATGTCTGATATCGCTAGACCATTACCCCGGATGGTTCTTAACAACAATTTGATACAAGTGTCTTGCAAAATTTATGATATTTTAAGGTAGTTATTTGCCAAAAGTTTAATTAAAAAAAGAAGTTGATATGCAAATTCTTTATAGTTGAGAGTCTTGAGAATGTGGAGAAGAAATTTAATTTTATGCAGTTAATAATTTACCTTTAGATGCACCGGTGAAAAGAGGAAGGATAATTTGCATAGAGGGTAGGAGGCAGAGAGGGCGTGTGAAATTAATATAGAATGAAATTATTAAAGTTTGTAATAGAAAAGAATGTAAAAAGAGAATTTATTTGATTGACCCATTTATACGGTATTATAAAAAGGAGGTCGATAAAAGTATTTACATTTGATGGCACTTTGGATCAAATAAGCATAAAAATTTTAACTTTACTGGACTTGGTTGCTTTTAAGAATGGTTCTACATTGGTAAGGCAACTCGTCAATCATCATTAACCAACTTACTTTGTATAGAATTTGCTAGGAAATAGATCAAGAACTGGGGTCCAGTTACAGTTCAACCTCATTTTTTTTGCGTCACCTTCTAGATAGGGAATACAAATCAATGAAACCATCAATCACTGACCGTCCATTTCTTTTTATTCCTTAGTATCTCTGCTTTATAGATCGTCCATTCTTTTATTCCTTATTTTCTCTACGTTATAAACCGAAAAAAAAAAAGTAAAAATCTCAAACAGAAAAAATAATAATAAAAATAAAATAAAATTCTTTAATTCCATTAAAATTTGTTATGTGATAGTTTATATTTATATACTACCCTTATTCTAATAATTATAACGAAAAAAAAAAAAAAAGTAAAAACATTAAATATATATAAAAGAATTAATTAACTTACCCAAAAAAAAATGATCAATAAAAAGGGATCCTCCTCTCATCTTCGGATTGGGCTTGGACTTGGGCAAAGGGTCCACTTTCCTTGCTTGATTGCTTTCAAAAGCCATTGCAACATAATACTAGCACAAAGAGGATTTAGCCTTAAAAAATAAAAAAATAAAAAAAAATAAGAGAAGCCTATATGGATCTCACACACTCTGGTTTCTTGATGATGTTGTAGATAATCAAAATTCTAACACAATTATTTCAAAACTTAATTGAGTTGAAAATCTTGATTTATTATGTTGCAATGGAGGAGGTGTCATTGTTTCAATACCATTATTTAAAAACTTCAACAAAATTATTTCGAACCTCAAAATAAGGATGTTAAATGTTTAAAATAATGATGTTAGGTGTTGAATCTCGATTTAATATAATTGCTCAACACCAATATTTGGTGCCGGTGTTAAGCAGCACATTAAATCTTGGTGTTGAGTAACACTTTAGTTTGAGATTCATCGCAATTATTTAGAGACTCAAAATAACTGTGTTAAAATCTCCAAATAATGGTGTTGAAAAACACATTAAGATGAGATACAACACCATCGACACGCTACAATATTAAACTGCACAACCGAGAAACCAAACTCCAACTTTTTAGCCCTTTCAACTCCAAATAATGGGCTGATCAAAGTTTATTCATTGTTGAAAGACCAGGCAATTGAAAATTGTGCAAGTCACTGATAAATTGGGGTAATACTGTTATCCTCCTAAAGAATTACAAATATAAAGCCAAAACTTTTTCAATAAAAATGAATAATCCTTATAGTGAAGGTGATAACATTATACAAACAATACAATTCTGAGGTACAAAAATTTGCAAAACAGTAGAAGAAAAAACAGCAAATAGTAACCTTAAAACGCATTAAACTGTAATAGCAAGCTTCACACAGCAAAAAGAAGCTGTATTTTCAACTTCATTGATCGAAGAAGCATCGTCCATGTTTGACAAGCTTCAACTTCAACAATTGAACTCTTTTAGGTTGTTTCTTTCCCTTTGAATCTTTGATTGCCAGTTCTTCACTTGTGGAGGAAAATTTGAGTGGCTTCACCTTCCCTCAAGTGCTTGACTTGTCTCCTGACTCGAATCTTTAGGTACAAGCAAGAATCGCTATTGCAGAAACTCTCGAAAAACCAGGTTTACAATGTACTCCTTAATAATATTTCACAACCCTATCAGTTGGTCGATAGAATTCACACTTTAGTGGTCATCATTGTTTTGTAGCAAAACTCAAACGTTTTGGATTTATTTCGTCCACACAGATCAATATTGTTCCAGCACTCCCTTCTTCAGTCCACTTGATAGACTCTTTCGTCAATAGCTTTATAATCTGTCCATGTAAAAAATGAATAAATAATGCAGTCTATGAATAAAAAACAATTAAGCTAAGGCACCACTCCCTTAATAGAAGTTCACAAAATAAATTAATTGTAAACATGTTGCCCTTAATATCATTTGCACAATTCAGCAGCAGCATAGCTAATGGTTAAGATACTCAAGGGGTTTCATTGGCATTGCCTCGAACCTGACAAACGTAGAAACCATTACAATACTAGTCTAATTTTTGGTTGAGTTGAGCCCCCCATTAATAACACATGTAGTTCAGCTCATTTT